GGCGGTGATGCTGCAACGACACCTACTACGGATGACACAACTTCAACTGGCGGTGATGCTGCAACGACACCTACTACGGATGACACAACTTCAACAGGTGGTGATGCTGCAACAACCCCTACGACAGATGACACAACCTCAACTGGTGATGATAGTTCGGCAACAGCTTCAAGTAGTGCAACATCCTCTGCAACTGATTCAGATGGAACAGTGACTCAAAACAGTACAGATGATACTCAAACTGCAACGGGAGGAGATGCAACAGCAACTTCAACAAGTACGTCAAGTACTGATGGTACAACAACTGGCAGTGATGACACTACTTCTTTGACCACTCCTGATGATACAACTGCATCTTCAACTGATTACAGTGCTGATGGATCAACTGATGGCTCTACTGTTCCGGCAACATCCAACAATGATGCAACAAGCTCAACAACAACTACAGATGGTTCGACCGACGGCTCTACTGATGGAGCTGATGATTACACTACACCTGCTACTGGCACTGATCAAAGTGGTGATTCTACAAACTCAGGTACAAGTACGACTGGAGATGATGCCACAGGTGATGATTATGGTACTGGTTCAGGCTCAGGTGATGACACAACCACTGGAGGAGATCAAACTTCAACACCAACAGAAGATGATACAACAACTGGAGGAGATCAAAGTTCAACTACAACAGGAGATGATACAACAACTGGTGAAGATCAAAGTTCAACTACCTCAACTGATTATAACTCTACTGGCAGTGGCGATAACACAACCGGAGGAGATCAAACTTCAACCCCAACTGGCGGAGATTCAACAACTGGAGGAGATCAGACTACAACACCAACTGGCGATGACACAACTGGTAGTGGTAATACCGATGGTTCAACAGATGGTGCTAGTGACTATACTACACCAGCTACTGGTACGGATCAAAGTGGTGATTCGGCAAACTCAGGTACAAGTAAAACTACCGGAGATGATACCACGAGTGGTGACAATGGATCAGGATCAGTCGATCAAAGTGGTGATTCAACAACCGATGGAACTACAACAGGTGATCAATCAGGTACAGTCAATGGTGACACTCCTGTTGAAACTGGTACAGAAGGTCAAGACAATGGTAGCGATTCGACTTCAACTGACACCACCGGTACTGGAGATGACACAACTTCAACTGATTATACTTCTTCAGGCAGTGGTACTACCGATGGCTCAACTGATGGCACTGCTGTTCCGGAATCATCCAACAATGATGCAACAAGCTCAACAACAACAACTACAGATGGTACGACAGACGGCTCTACTGATGGTGGTGATGATTATACTACACCGGCTACTGGCACTGATCAAAGTGGTGATTCTACAAACTCAGGTACAAGTACGACTGGAAGTGATGCCACCGGTGATGACTATGGTACTGGCTCAGGCTCAGGTGATGATACAACAACTGGAGGAGACCAAACATCAACACCGACTGGCAGTGACACGACAACTGGTGAAGATCAAACTTCAACACAAACTGGCGATGACACAACAACTGGAGGAGACCAAACATCAACACCAACTGGTGGTGACAACACAACCGGAGGAGATCAACCTTCAACACCGACTGGCAGTGACACGACAACTGGTGGAGATCAAACCTCAACACAAACTGGCGATGACACAACATCTGGAGGAGATCAAACATCAACACCAACTGGTGGTGACACAACAACCGGTGGAGATCAAAGTTCAAGTACCTCAACTGACTATAATTCTACTGGCAGTGGTGATGGCACAACCGGAGGAGATCAAACTTCAACACAAACTGGCGATGACACAACATCTGGAGGAGATCAAACTTCGACACCAACTGGTGGTGACAGCACAACCGGAGGAGATCAAACTTCAACACCGACTGGCAGTGACACGACAACTGGTGGAGATCAGACCTCAACACAAACTGGCGATGACACAACATCTGGAGGAGATCAGACCTCAACACAAACTGGCGATGACTCAACATCTGGAGGAGATCAAACTTCAACACCAACTGGGGGTGACGCAACAACCGGTGGAGATCAAAGTTCAAGTACCTCAACTGATTATAATTCTACTGGCAGTGGTAACGGTGATAATGGATCTTCAACGACAAGTGGTAGCGGTGATGATGGTTCAGGCAGTGGTGGCGATTATACCCCAAGCGGTGGAAATGGCGGTGGAAGCGGTCAAAGTGGAAATGATCAACCAGGTTCAACACCACCAACAACAACACCACCAAAGGGCAAACATCCTCACCCTCATCCAAAGACTAAGAAGCACCATCCTAAAGTCTCAACAGGAACAAACACTACCGCATCCGCCACAACTTCTACAACCAAACGTGCAGTTCATTACGCTCAACGTATGATTTTCAAGCGTAGGGATTTGTGGTGATCGAAGCAAGTGCTCTCTGTTTCAAATGCTTTTCAAACTTTTCTCCCTCTGAATAATTCTTCACCTTCACTCACATTTAATACAACACCTTTCTTTATTCTCTGTTCTCATCAAAGCATTCATACGATATTTTCCTACCGTCACAGGTTGACAACAATGTTTTTATCGTGAAATGCAATACACGTTCATTTAGACACCATCAAAATCAGATTGAAAAAAGTGTGAAATTTAATTTTGAAAGTGGTTATACTAGTACAAATGTCAAATCAGGAAAAAGTCGCCGTTCAACTATTTCTTCCTTGCAGCTTTAAGCTTAATCGTTTCATCCCCAACGAATACACCTTTACCCTTGTATGGCTCTGGTGGACGCAATTTACGAATATTGGCAGCGAATAATCCCAATGCTTCTTTATCTGCTCCTTTGAGTACGATTTGTGTTGGTTGAGGCGTTGTACATGAAATTCCACGTGGGACTGGCAAAAAGACTGGATGTGAATAACCCAAACGAAGCGATAATCTTTGCTTTTTTCGCAGATTGTCATTAGATTTTGAGATCGCTCGAAGATAAAAATTCCTTTGTTCTTCTGAAACAAAATTTCCCAAAACACTTGAATTTTCTACAATTTTACCATCCCCAACGATTGAATATTTTTCTGATAATTGTGCAAATGCTTCTTCAAATTTATCCAAACGTGGAAATGGATCATCATCAACGGCTGCACGATAACCAACACCAACCATTCGAATTTTGATCGTGTGACCTTCTTGAACGCCTTCAATTGCGTTTGCTAGAATTGCACGAGTTAAACCCCAAGTACCTCTTTGAATTTTGATCGTTGCATCATCTACGCTTAAAGTTAATTTTCGTGGTTCGGCTTCTTCTCCTGCTTTTTGTTGTGTGCTATTTGTTGTTTGTTGTTTCTTCTTTGATCCTACCAGCTTGTTGGCTTCCTCCCAGTTCAATTTAACAAAGTCTCGTAAAGGAACAATGACTGTGCCTAAAGGACCTTCTACTTTGATCGATGTTACCGATCCAGTTAGATGATGAGGCGGCTGTCTCTTTGAAGGGTCTACCATCGGAGGAAAAGGCAGAATTGTTAACTTTGTTGTGGGTGCAAGGTATAATGGCGCTGATCCGATATGCGAATGTCTTTTAGAGATTAAACAAGTCGAATTGGAAGCAAGACATATCCTCGAAGCTGCTGAAGCGCTTTTGTGCATAGATCCTAACAAGCTCGTACTGGCATGCAAGCCATTCCGACTGGCCAACATGTTTGCTGTAGATGATGATGGCTGATGACGATCACAATTGCTGTTTTTAGCAGCTTCAAGATCTTCTTGTGCTCAAGCTTGCATTTCATTAAATTCTCAAGTAACAGTCAAAGCACGTGAACGCAAGCCCAAACAGAAAGATTAAGGCTCTTCAGCGCGTAGATGGGAGATCGGCTAAAAGGCCTTCTTTTATCGGCTATAGCCGTATCTTTGATCACAAGAAAAGGGGAGTCAATATCAGCCATGGCATTGCGTAGATCGCGCTTTATTTAAGCCGCGCCGCCCTTTTTTGTTTTATGGGCGGGCGCTCTGTTTTTGCTCTGCGCAGCGCACGTTATTCAGACGCACGCCACGGAATTTAGCCGCTTAAGCACTGCTCTCTCTGCGTTTAAAAGATAGGATGCAAATCTCTCCACTCCCAACCATCTCCTAGCAAAAGGTTTTGCAATAGACATCCTCCATCTCAAATCAAGATGAGGAACAAGGTCGTGCCGGCACGCGCCTTATATCGATTAGTATCGCAAGGACAGCAACAGCAACAACAACAATCTGCCACTGCTGCTGCTTCCTCTAGTTCGACTTCGACATCAACATCGTATTCTTCAGCAAGGTTACCTTCTTCGCGGATCAGTTCTTCGCTCGCTTCTAATGCTAGACTTTCAAGAGCCGCAACCGTAGCTGCACGAAGGAGGCAAGAGGCAAGCCTTTCAGCTTCCGGATCAGCATCAGCAGGTGGCAGTACAGTCTCGGCAGGTTCGTCTGGTACCTCTTCTTCTTCTTCCTCTTTCTCACGTAGAAGGAGATCGAGTACTTCCAATGCACAACAGAAGAAACAGGATTACGACGTTCCAATGATCGTCGTAAATCCAACTGTACAACATCTTTGGTCGCAATTATCAAGTGCAAGCACGAACGATATGCAGAAATCGCCCTTTCGCTTCGAAACAATTCAGCCACAACAAACGTCTTTGAAAAACGTCGCTTTACAAAAGTTCTTTGCCAATCAACGCCCTCTGCTAGAACATCAAGTCTCATCACCTTCTGCAGCAGATGGAATGGCACAATTGTTCGATCAAGAGGGTAAAGAAGAAGGAGAGAGATTGAAATCTATCTCGGCAGCGTTGATGCAAACGTTACACGAGTCAGGGCATATCTCCGAATCGGACATGGAAGGCGCCACTGTGGTGATCTCTGCTGCACCAGATATGCAAACCGATTACCCGCGAAGGATTGTGGATATTGAGCAAGAGCGATTTGCCTCTTTGTTGGATCGGCTAGCAAACGCAAAGAGCAGTGCAAAGGGTGGCGAACGTGTTAGAAAAGAAGCAAAGGAGCTCCAAAGTGAGCAAAGTAGACGGAAAGATGTAGAAGAGGCAGTGAGCAGTGCCATCGAGCGTGGTGAGAACCCTGCAACAGCAAAGGCTCTAGGATCAGAAGCTGATTTGGTCATTTTGGGAGAACCTGAAGGTCCAAATCCATCCTGGGCAAGAGGAACGGCTACATATTTGGCACAATCTACACGAGCATTTGAACCACCATCGCTACCTTCTTTTGGTAAACCTGGAAAGTCTGCTGTGGCAAAGAAAGGTGAAGAGCTTAAATTGAAAAGCAAAGATTTGTCTGCTAATATCAAGATTATCGATGAACGTGAAGATGATCCGAATTTGCTCTTGAGCCATGCTATGGTACAAGCAACACTTCCACCGGCACTTTCTTGGAATCGTTTGGTAGCAAAGATGGACGCTGCAACATTGAAAGAAGGTGGTTCGTTATCATTCGTTGATGTGAATTCACTGGATGCTGAATTGTTACCCATCATGGAGAAACAAAGCTCGGAACATCAAGTAGTAGAGATGGACAGTACCAAACGTAAGAGAAAGAAGAAGATGCGTAAACATAAATACCGTAAATTACGCAAAGCTACCCGAATCGAACGTTCAAGATTGAAGAAGTAAATCTTGCAATCATACCAATTATCAATTGTAGATACTATAAGAAGAAATCAATATACATCAAACATAAGCGGGGGGTATCAAGGGTATTAAGCTGTCTGAGGAATAGGTTGGGAATCTTTCTTTGCAAAAGGAGTTTTGAATGACATTCTCTTTTGCTTCTTCTCATTTGATGTGGTGGGAGTTTGAACAGATGAAGCCTTTCCTGCAGGTGTAGGAAGAGGCCCTGCTGCCGGTGTTCCGGAAACAAGGATTTGCTGCTGTGCTAATGATTGCTTTTTTGCTTTGAGTAATGCTTTATCATCTTTTGAGAGGAGTGTGATCGTCAAAAGTGCAACCCTGCCGTCGGTTGCGATATCGTGATTGATGCCCTTCGTTCCAGGTTGAATTAAACCGGTGAGATAATCAACTTTTGTTTGATATTTACGGAACATGAATGATCTATGTGAAAGAAGACAAGGGTAAGCGATTCTTATCAAGATTAGTAAAGTTTTTGAGGGAAACATACGTAATGCCATTTTTGTTCTGTTGACTTTGTTGAACGAGATCATCTCTTCCTATATTGTAACCATCAGGAACGATCATATGGTGCTTGGTCACATTCTCTTCTCGTGAAGCAGCGAGGAACCATGCCCCGGTTCCTTGTTGTTGCCATGCACGGATATGATTTCCGCCTTTTAATGATTCGATACATGTTCCGAACAGGTAGCTAAGAGGGGGGAATTGAATGAAGTGTTAAAAGACTTATACCTACCACCGTCCAGACTTTTCAACTCACTCAAGCGGAGTGTACACTTCTCTATATAAGAAATTTTGATCTACCCAACCTCTTGGATCCAAAAAAGCTTTTTGAGGACCACCTGAATGCAAACCAAAACATTCCATATCAAGATCGAGTGAACGCAAATAACCTTGTAAACCTTTACGTGAAAGTAATTCTGGCGTACTTAATGCACTTATGATCACGTTTAAAGGTTCTCCTAATCCGGCAGATTGATCTAACATTGAACCTCCATATAATGTTGGATTGATAAAAGGTTTTCCCGTAGAATTGAGTAACTTTTTTGATGGATCAGTTATTTCGCCCGTTGCAAAGATTGTTGGATCATCTTGTAAACGTGGATCGTTTGGATCTTCTAAACCAAGCGTCCTTCCGGATGCATCGGTGATCGCGACTTGACCGGTCGAGATATCTTCGTTGGTTGAAGTTGTCTTACCAGGTAATAAATCTTTCAAGCTTACCATTATGTTTTAAGGGGCTTATATGGTGATCATGAACAATTATAATTTATACTCTCCCTTTTTATAGTACCAGCATAACATACATTTCTTCATCATCCGATAAACAGATGCCGAGATAAAAAAGCAGGAGCCCCTAAATACTTCTTGAAACACGCCATACCTGTTGTTTTTACGGCTGTAGAAAAGTGTTGTTCTTTTCCGTTAGCGTCCTGATGATCTTTTAAGATTCATGCTTCCCGCACGTTGGAAAGAACGTGCCATTGATTGAGTAGCCAAGTCAAGTCTTATGCGCGTTCCCTGCATGTGCAGTCCAAGCTTTCAATCAATTAAGCTCAAACTCAAATTGTTCTGCGATCGGTCCTCCTCCAGATAAACAGCCGATCGGCATAGGTTTCCAATCTGTTTGATTGTATGTACTCCAACCCTGCAATAATGCACAAACGGCATTTTGACGTGATTGCCAAGCAATTTCACCTTCATCTGACGGTAAAGCAATTTCATCTTTTGTGGAATTCTTTTTAATCTCTTCGGCATCATCTTTCTTCAATGCGTCTAATTGCTTTTCCATCGCCAAGATTGATCGTTCCAAATCTGTCATTTGTTCATCAGCTTCTTCGGATTGTGCTTCGCCTTTTGCCTCCTGTGACTGCTTTGAATTCTTGTCGAGCATCACTGTTGATTCTGCTAGTTCAAGCAAATGTCCCACACGCTCCATCAAGGTAGGATTGCTTTGACAAAGCGTTTGAGCTACCGCAATAAACGTCTTTGATGGTTGAGCCAGGCATTTGCGAACGATTGTCGTATATGATAACTGTGATCCATCACTCGTGTCGAACATTCGAGATTTATTGCCCCCTTCGCTGCCACTTCCTATCAGGTATAACAACCAACTTGCCGCTGTATCAACGATTGACTGTTCTTGCAAAGCTTTCGTGTTTTCATCCACTGTACTATCTTGCTGTTGCCGCTGTTGATCTTGTTGGGTCACACAATCGATTAAGTTATCAATCAAAGCAACGTCAAAGCTTTCCACTTCTTCGACGAAGTATTTTAATAAAGGCATCCATGTATCCGCCAAGATTGGAGTCATAGCTGGAATTCTTCCTTTGCTTGTTGAGCATAGTCTCTTGCGTAAAGCCAACGGGATCAAGCCTCCCGGTTCCAAAAGCACATCCGCCAGGATATCACATGCATTCAGCTGTCCCAGAGCAATGAGCTTTGCCTCATCTATGCTATTGCTTCCCTTGTTTTGAAGCAGGCTCTTGCGTTGCTTGATCAGCACTTCATCTGCCTTGCGTATGCATTTCACCATCCGGGTCTGAATTGAGAGTATGGTAGCCTTGCTTGGACCTCTCAAAGAAGCATCGTTAGCAATCTGTTTGGCAAGTTTACGATATGCTGCTAAATGTTGTCGTAATTCTTCAGCTGTTGCTTGTGTGATCTTCTTTTGTTCGTCATCCAAATCTAAGATGTTGCCATCGTATTCGGCAGTGCTTGTACCCTGTTGCATCGACTCACTTCGTACTGATTGCTGTTGAATGTTTGGCAGCCAAAATTGATTCTGCAGCCATCCTAGAGCATCAACGCTTGCTTGACGTAAGACATGCAAACTTGGCATTTCTTCATGAGTGGCCGCATGTCGAATCTCCACGAACCAAAGTGGCAATCCGATCTTTTCTGCGATCATGAATATGGATTGAGCATATAATCCCGTTTGCATAGAATCTGCCAATGCATTGACGAATCGCAAAAGTGCCATTGAATACGTACTACGAACGCACCATTGCCAATCTTGTTGTTGAAGCGAGAAATCTTGCGTGAATGAAGGCATCAACAGTCGTTCATCCAATTGTTGTGCTTCGATCAATCCCATCGTGCTCTCTACTGCATGTGGACATGCTCCTCTGTTCAGCCAAACCTTGCATCGTTCAATTCCTTGTCTTCGCTGTTTGTGATATCCATCATCAATTGCGATCGCATGTGCGCCTGAAGGGTAAAGCAAAGCAAACAGCTCTTCCAGCTCGTGACGATGAACATTTGCAGTCCTTCGTGGTAGTTGCATTTTGGATGCTATATTGCTCTTTCCATTCTATGTGCTAAGGAGTGTTGTTAGAGAGGAGGAATGAGAAGAAGCTTTAAATATTTTTTATTTGTTTGTCTTGTTCCGCTATCCGAAGGCGGAAATGCATGTTGAATAAAAACGCGCCGTCCACGTGCCACAGTGCGGGTACCTTGCCGCACTCTTGCATTATGTAGAACATGTAAAGTACAATGTGCTGATGCCAGCAATTCCCCTTTACAACAATGAACTGATTCTCCCTCCAACTGATCGTGTGCATGAAACCCTGAACCGATTAGTCCAGAATCACACTCCCATTCTACAGCAACGTAATATTGCTGTATCATTCCATTCACATCAAACAGTTCTAGCATGCTCTACTGCGAATCACTGTCCACGCCGAAGTCTGCGGTTCGAATCCTGCCGCATCATCTAAATCACAACAATGCATGCTTAAAGAAGTGACACTTCCGAATGAATGCATGCATGCACGCGTACCTTGATTACCATCAGCTCAACTTTCGATCGTACTCCATCTCTATCATTGAAGGGGTTACTCTTCGTTAATGACAAGTAGGAGATGAGCGAACAAAGCGGAAGCGGAGGATCCAATAGAGATGCAAGGGCATCAAGACCAAAAGTACAACAACTTAGACCGACTAACAAAGCAACACCCGCTGCTGCTGGACCTTCAAGTGGATCGACATCAATTCCATCAGCAAATATCAATGCTGGAAATGCAGGTCAACAAGAACATACCCCACAAGCACCTCAAAGAAGCACAAGCGCAGGAACAAATGGCGTTCAGCGTGCTATACCAAGGATCGTGACCGGACAAGGATCTGGATCGAATATATTGATCAATCAAAGACAACGACAAAACCCGATGATTTCATTGATAAAGAATGTTCCATGGGAATATAGCGATATCGTTGCAGATTTTCAAGTTGGCTTAACGTCTTGCGTTTTATTCTTAAGCATACGTTATCATCGCTTACATCCCGAATACATTCATCAACGTATAGAAAAGTTGGGTAAAATGTACACATTGAGAATCTTGATGATTTCATGTGATGTTGATCAACCTGATTCGGCCATAAAAGAATTAACAAAGTTGGCGCTGGTAAAAGATTTAACGGTAATGGTTGGATGGTCAAATGAAGAATTGGCAAGATATTTGGAATTATACAAGAAATACGAAAATAAATCACCTGATTTGATTAGAGAACGTATAAATGATGATTTTTTAAGTCATTATTCGGCTGCTTTACGTAGCATTCGTGGAGTAAACAAAACAGACGTTCATACGCTTGCAACACACGTTGGACCATTTTCCGCAATCGCAAACGTTTCTTCCGAACAATTGGATCGTTGTCCTGGGTTTGGTGAAATAAAGATTGCAAATATAATTGATGCTTTTCATCAACCTTTTCGAGCGGGTAAGCTAAAATCTTATCGTGAAAGAAGGATCGAAAGGGAATTGGAAGCTGCTAAAGATGATGCACTGGAACAAATGGATCGTACATCACAACATCCTTTACCACAAACCAACGTTCGTCGGCCAAATATACCTTCTCTGGAAGATGATATCAGTCCAAATGAAGATCTAGTCACCAATCCCGATACTATACGGCAGAACAATAATCAAGCAGATATGGATCTAGAGGAGGACATCGAAGATTTCGATGATATGCTGGAAGGTTTGACCGAGGAGGAAAAACTGCAACTCGCAATGGAGATGTCCATAAGTGGTGGTGGGGGTAAAGAGAGCTGACATCTGTACTTTTACCATAAATGCACACACACACAATGTATTCAAGCCAAATTGATGTCTACGTAAAGATTGACGATAGATCCAATACAAAGTACAAAAAAAGAAGTAAAACAAAAGAGCAAATAGACGGCATACGTATTGATCAAAACGAGCACGAGCAAGAGAAGAAGAGTAAGAATGGGTATGTTGCGCGCACCTAGACGTACGCTTTCACAGAGAAGGGTGAGTCTGCATCATCATCAAAGAAGCGAACTGCGGGCAGCTCCATGCTTGAAATGTTGACGTTTGGGTGCGGCGATCTTCTGTGCTGGAGCTGGATTTGATTGGCTGGCTGGTTTTGATGTTGAACTGGTCAGTGCACCTGAAGCGGACATTGTTGCATTCAGGACGGGTATAGGTGTGTTGGCGGCCACGATTGCAGTTCCTAATGGCATTTGTGCATTTCCTGGTGCAGGTACTTTTGGGTTCACTTTTGGATTCAAGTGCAATGCAGGATTAGCAGGCGGTCTAACCAGACCGTCTAAAGTGCATAACACCAAACCGTCATAAATCTGATCGCAATCTGCAGTTGGGTTATTTTCCAAAAGTGTTGCTACAGAGATACCGAATTGACCTGCAATCGTTTCGCAATTATCATTTTCCGTTGCACGATAAACCATTTGACAATCATTACCGTATCTTCCCAAACATAGCTGTGCTCCGGGTTGTAGAGTGTAACAATCTGGTCCTGATTGTGGTAGGTTGAGAGCCATGATTTGATATGTGCTTGTTAGGGTCTTTTGACCGATTTTATCGCATGTATCTCCTTGTTGAACGGTATAATGACGGGTACATGCTGTGTCCAAAGAAGGATATTGCGCTCTTGATGGCACAATTGCCATTCCTGCCATTAATGTCAAAGCGAATGCGGATCGCAATGCATTTCTTTTGGATTGAGATATAGATGATGAAGCCATTGTATTATGTATCGAGTTGAAGAGAGAAGGGCGTAACGAATGTGTGAGTAAATTCTTTTCTCCTGGAAACGAATGTGTGTGTGTCGTGATAATTAAGTGAGTCTGTGTGTTGTAAGCGATAGGATGAATGTCCGAGTGAGATCGTGAAAGACCGATATAACGAACAGCAAAAAGAAAGAAAGAGATGATGTGATTGTATATGGAGGGGGATCAAGAAAAGGGTTGATGGTGTGTTGTGATCGGTAGTGGAATAGATAGGGCGGGCAGCGGCGGTAGCGGCCACAGACAATAAAATATCACTTAGGAGGACAAGGATTCCGCTTTGTGCTTGTGTTGTTTTTTTTTCTTTCCTTGGAAAGACCTTGTCAAGCAGTCAAGGCACAGTGTACAATCTCATTATTAAAAAACGCCCATAGCTTTCCCTTTTTAGCGCATAACGCGTTCCTTCTGCAATGATAAATGAAGCGAAACCCTAAACATGCATTTTGACTGAAATTGTGCTCTACAATCCCAAAAATACTTCTAGCTGCTCCGCTTTAAAGAATATTCCTTAAGTTTAAATTTGACGGTTACGCGATCGGTAAGGAGGAGTATTACATAATCATTTGTGTCGGAGTCATTCTTCCAAACTCAAAATCCGGGGAAGAGTGAACGCATACATTCAAATTTTCTCTCATCACAATCAGCAATCATGGTACGATTTCCAGCATTCGAAGTGGAAAGATGGATGGACACATATGAAACAAAGGCAAAATATGATTTAGCAGAAACATGTGCACTCTCGATCAAATTACGAGAATTGATTGAATTATCCTATTTGGACGGAGAACCACCATTAGAGCAATCTGCTGTATTTGATGGCAAGTTGGGTTATGGACATATAAATGGATCACCGAAGCTACGTCAAAGAATAGCAGAATGTTATGCAACGTCAAGTGAGATCACAAAGGAGAATATTCTCGTCACACAAGGTGCAATTAGCGCCAACTTTTTGTCGATCATCGGTTTGATACAGCAAGGCGATCATGCAGTGGTCGTTTCGCCTTCTTATCAGCAATTGCAAGAGCTACCCAAAACATTTGGCGCTGATGTGTCGTTTTGGAAGCTAAAAGCTGAGGAGAATTGGGAACATCGTACTGAAGAGCTAGAGAAGATCGTAACAAAGAAGACCACTTTAGTCATTATTAATAATCCCAATAATCCAACCGGATCTGCCATTCCAACAGAAACACTGAAAGAGATTCACGATATCGTCAAGAGAAAAGCTCACCCAGATGCAATGATATTATGCGATGAGGTCTATAGTCCTTTATGGCATTCCATTCCGCAAGATGAGCAAGTGCCGGCATCGATGTTAGATTTTGGGTTTGACAACGTTTTGGTGACGGGAAGTTTGTCAAAGGCGTACGCTCTTGCAGGATTGCGGGTAGGATGGATTGCTACGAAGCGAAAAGATCTGCTGCAAAGATTTCTTGGCATTCGTGATTATAATATCATCTCTGTTTCTGGCGTAGATGATGAATTGGCAGCACGAGCACTGGGACCTAAAGCAAAAGCAGCACTGCTAAAACGCAATACGACACTTGCCCGAACAAATCGTGCAATTTTGGCCAAATGGATTGATGAAACAAAAGGTGTACGATGGATACCTGCAAAAGGTGGAAATACTGCTCTGGTTTATTTGGGTGATGGAATCAAAGATGAAGATTTTTGCGCTTCTCTTTGTGAGACTAGAGGTGTGAACGTCGTTCCTGCTGGCTTATGCTTTGGACATCCGGGTTATGTTAGAGTTGGCTATGTGGGTGATACGCAACAATTGAAGGATGGATTAGTACAAATTGCAGAACATTTAAAATCATGGAAATAATAGAGTAAATTGTATCATACATCATCTTCTTATCGTAATAATCTCAGCAGCATTTAGCATCATATCTAAGCAGCGCCGGCGTAGTGTCTCCACAACAAAGAAACACGCGTGCATGAGATCTTCTTCAATCACTTCCACGAAGAAGTCCTGGCCAAAGATGCCGGCAATAGTGGGTGAGATGGGTACACAATCGACGCCATCTGGTCCAATACCCTACAAATATGTTCAGCAGACATACATGCTTTCCAGTCAAGCAAGGAATTGGCGTTTCAGTGCTCGACAGATTGCCAAGATGCGCAAAGATGGCAATGAAGCAGCACAAAAGCGATTAAGGGAAATATGGCAACGTGAACGAGAATTGCCATTGATGGGAGGTGAAGAAGAAGAGCCAGAAGCATCATCTTCTAGTACACCGATCGAGTTCTTGGACGTAGATGATGAACAAGCTTTGATTTCTTACTATTTCACAAGGGTTCGACAATTGGTAAAAGCGTTCTCTTTGCCGGAATTGGTTGAAGCAACGACGATCACGTTTATCAAACGGTTCTATCTGCGAAATACATGCATGGACTTTCATTCAAAGCATATTGTGCTTACCTGCTTATTCTTAGCAGCCAAAGCAGAAAGTCATGCCATTCCACTAAGGCATTTTGCAACGAAACTTGCTGGAAAAGAACAGAATCCAAAGGTCATCAACGAAAACATCAAAACGGTACAAGATTTAGAGTTTCTAGTTTCACAAAGTTTAGCATTCGAATATACAGTCCATGGTGCACATAGAGCTTTGCATGGATTCATGTTGGACTTTCAAACTTTACAGCCTGCTCCTACGACGGATATGATGGCTGCCATCCTCGCGCCTGCAAGGGCAAACGTTCAACAATCTAGATTTACCGATGCTGAACTGATTTATACACCTTCGCAAATCGCTTTGGCATGCGTTCATAGCTCGTGTAGCGAAGGCAAAGAAGCTGTTGAACGATTCTTAGAGGCAAAGTTTAAGAGGACGAAGGAGAATTGGCAAAAGGAGATCGAACAAAGACAAAAGTGGAGAGCGACAGAAAGACAGAAATTGGAAAAGAGAGGAGTGAAGGAGGATGCGTTACCACAAGCAGTGAAAGATGTGGAAGTGCCTTTGGACAGCGAAGAGAGTGGAAGGATGGATAGCAAGCAAACGCTGGCTGTACTGGCAGAGATTGAAGAGATGATTTCTTCACACGTTGCTCAAACGAATGAAAAAGTCAAAGAGGTAGATAAGAAGCTAAAGATGTGCTCAAATCCAGAACGAATGTCAAACAGTCGATTAACACGAAAACATGAAGAGGATAAAAAGAATGCCATCTTGGGCAAACGAGATGCCAGTCGAACGAAAGTTTCGGGTGATGATGCTAAATTGGCCAATCCGTTCGTAGATGAAGATGACGATGACGATGAGATCGAAAGGGCACCCACTACCAAAAGACAACGAGTAGCATGATGTACAGTATATAGTATAGCATAATTTATAAATGACTGTCAGGCACAGAAGGTGAGAAGTAGGAGCATAATGCACCGACTGCACCGATAAGACCGAAAAGCACAGAAGTTGTGGGCAATAAAAGGTACGCGGGATTGCTTGGCAACAAGGTCTCTCTTATCATGAAGTTGGGGTTACTTTGCAGTGGCTTGGCTACTTGGCCGATAAGTGCATTAATTACACAGACAGGCTTGTGCGAGCTGCATCCTCTTTTTACGCGAGCTTGCGAATGAGCGGGCAAAGGGCGGGCAACAAAATAAGAAAGTGAAATCAGACCTTTTGCTGGATTATTGCGTGCACCACTGATTGCCGAACGTTCACCATTTAGACGTGCATGGGGATGGGTGATGTGCATATAGACATTCATTACGTGCGTATAGGAGTAAATGATCTTCTTCACCTTTATAACAAACACAATCTTGTCAATCACATCCATCTTGTTGACATCCAATTTCGATCGATCGTAATCATCGATAAGCTGATCACGTTTTAACAAGCCGCTTCTCGATTCAGCCCCAGCAAGAAAAATTGTATCGCGGCGACAATTTACATATTATATCACTTCATTTAAAGCGCCAAGAAAAACGTCAGAGAGAAAGCAGCATTACGATTTTCATTACATCACGCATGAAAATCGACATTTTATTCACGTTCCGATTTTGGGCATAGATCATATTTTGCAAAGAAAGAAACGTTTTTTTTAAATGCAAAAACAAAACGAGGAATCCCATCCAACATACACTCTCGTGCCCACTCCAAAACAATCAGGGCCACTAAAAAGCGGGGCAACATTACTACTCGTCGTTCTCCTCCCCTATTCATTCAATCATCTCGTGCCTGTCAATCATCATCATACTGCAGTGGTGTGATTGTTGCATAAAATTGCAATTTGCGGCGCCGATTAGCATTTGACGTCAAGCCGATTCAATCTCCGGTTTTGGAATTTCGGCAACAAAGAAAAACAAAAGACACAGATAAAATCAATCAAGAATAATAAACAATTCATTATATTCTGCGAAGAATAGTACGCCAGAAAAAGCTTTTCATATCTTTTTCATCAATCTCACTGGAACAAAAAAGAGGGCGTAATCATCACATCCTTTCAAAGGGGCTTCATTGTCACTTTCTACAATCACCATCAGGCACAACCCCACAAGGCGGTGTTGTTCTTTTTGCCCTTTGCCCTATATTACTTGATCACAAGCAGTATAAAACGTGTTGGCAGTAGACCTTTTCTGTCTTTTCGCGATCTTCACATTGCTTTTAGGACTTTTAACTGCGGGCAATCAATACAACGGAGGTAGATCTCTTTGACCGCATTTTACTGAAGAGCAATAAAAATGAATCCTCTAACGTTCTTTCCGCCACCATCAAGGTCTTTATCGAGAGTGAGCTCGAGACCTTCAAGTGGAGGGAATGGCGCACAAAACAATGGAGGTGGAAGTAGTTCTGCAAGTTCGACCAAATCAGTTCGTAGAGGTATGCAACCATTATCGACAACATCCTCACGTACAGGATCTTCATCGAAAGTGCAGACATTGAGTAACATTCGTGTGAGTGGAAATGGACAGACAATGGAATCAAGCTCGGGCAGTTCAAGTGCTAGTGGAGCAACTACTCCAGAAAAGGTGACTGGTGACAAGCAAAAACGGCCAGTAACATCACCTTCCTCGCCTACTGTTTCGAGTGAAATGCTAAGTCCTCGTTTAAGAGCCGTTGCTGATGGATATGCGAGCGATCCTGATGCTCCCAAACAAGGAAGACGATCTGGAACCAATTCTCCACGCAGCAAGAAGCATGAACGTATTCCATCTATAAATCAGCTCAAGCGAACGTCAACCAATACTTCCGTATCTCATGCACAATCAACAGGTGGACGATTGGGTCATCGTTTACCTCAAGGTTTATATTTCGATCTTGTACGTGCGAACGAAGTTGGTCATGCATATAGACTTGAAGTACAATCGTACGATCAAGATGATTCTGCAACTTGGGAAACTCTTCGTTACCGTCAACGTGAAGCACCTCATCTATTCTTGGGTGCATTTTTACCTCAACCTTTGCCGAAAGTGTCTGGCCCGTTGAGTATGAGCGGGCCACCACCAAGAAAGATGATTGGGTTTGTGTGCGGAACAGCATCTTCAGCATTGACGGCAAGGGCGATAAAAAATCATTCGGACGATGAGCATTCATGGCTGGTTTGTCTGTGGTCTGTTTGCGTCGCCTCTGAATATCGCAAGAAAGGTCTTGGGTTGAAGTTGATTGAGGAATACATTCGCCGAATGAGAAGAGCGGAAGAAGGAGAAAGCAAGAAAGGCTATGAATGCGTTGCAACCTTGTGTCATGAGGACACTATTCCACTATTTGAAAAGGCAGCTTTCAAGAAGTTGGGCGTTAGTCATGTCAATGCTGGCAGTGGAGGCTGGTTCGAACTTCGCAGATATATTTCGCCAAAAGATCACGATGAAGAAGAAGGTGAAGATAGCGGCGGTAGTGCATCGGATAAGAATGAAGTTCGCAGTCCACTTTCGTTGAGTGGCTTCCTGACCAACCCTGCTACGACGCATCCTGAATCGCCAGATGTAGGAGATGAGGTTTCTACCACGCCAACACAAGAGCTTGAACGTAGATTACAAGCTCATGCTGTTTCTACTTCGACCGGAGATGGAAAGCCAACATCATTGGTCATTCCACAATCGGCTGGTAGTTCAGACGCAGCTGTTGTCTCTTCGCCTACAATTCTATCGCCTGCCGTTCTCGATTCTTCTGCATTACCGTCGAATACCGATAAAGAGGTCAAAGTGTCTAGTTCTCCGCAGGAAAGCGTCAGTAATGATTCTTCAAGCGCAGAGCCTGCATTGAGTGGAGTCTCACCTTTTGGTGATACGTCTGCCTTTTCAACAGCTAAGATCATGGAAGCTTTGGGAACACAACAAGCAAACAAGAATCGCGAAGGACCACGTAATCCTGGTATTGCCTATTCTACCATTATGGGTCAAACTTTAGCTTCGAAAACTTCGGTTGAAGATGCATTTTATGCATTAGAGGCACGTTTGGTCAACAGAGAAGATCAATCAAATTTGGCCGATCTTTACTGTCCAAGAGAAGAATGTGCATGTTTGTTGATTAAAGGAGGAAATGCAGATTGGGAAATTGCGGAAATGGGACCATTGACGCAAGCCAATCTATCATTGCCAAACAGTCCTTCGCCACCTTCTGCTCCTGTTCCACCGCCACCTGCATCTTTGGATCGCGTACGAAGTGCATTAGGTGGACATCAACGTGATTCTTCGGTTACCTCTACGGCAGCACATGCATTCTGGATCGTTCATTCGCCAATGATATTCGAGAACATTGGTTTCTCGCGTGATTCCGAATGGAGATTGCCACCTTTGCCTAGCAAGTCAATTTCTTCTAATGGTTCGGAAGGAGATTCAAATGCTGGAGGGTACGGATCTTCTTCGAGTGCAGGAACAGAACGCAAGAAACCTGCCAAAAGGGGAAGTTTGTTCCGCGGTATTCGTGATACGATTGATAAGACGAAAGAACGTAGAAATACGAATTCATCCAATGCAAGTCAAGGCCAAAAGTCATCACCTAAATCACTTTCACCTACGAGTGCAGGTATTTTGAGCTCGAGCAGTAGTAGTGCAACATCTGCTATGGGAGCAAGTTTCCAAAGCGCAACGAGTGAAGCATCGGTTGTTGATGGTACGAATGGAAGTGTGAAAAAAGTCAAAGTGAAGTACCTCTTGTGTGCCGATTGCGATTGTGGACCTTTGGGTTATACAGTTTTACCTTCTTCTTTGGAAGGTGGAAATTTTGCCAAAGAGGTCGGTAAACAAGCTGCGGGTCAATTCGGAGGAGGTGAAGAAGAGGAAGAAGAACAGCCAAAGAAAGAACCTGAAATGCAATTATACTTTGTTGCTGCTGATCGCGTTCGTTATCGATTACCAAAATGAGCGTTCAAGTCTCATTAGCAATGTCACATTTCTTGGAAAAGAAAACAATTTCTCCAAATTATCATATTCGAACAGTTAAACCCTTGTTACAGATTCTTATCATGCAAATTTTGTCTCGAGTTTTGTACTCTCAGTTTCGATGACTGTTGTGCTCTGTTGTTGTACCTTTGTTTCCGTATAGCTGATCGTTTACTTTTTCTTTTTCTTTCTCATACTTGCTTATATTTTGCTTATTAACTTTCCCACGAAACTTACCTTACAATGTTGTTGTACATCATGCTGTTTTCCTGATCCATTAATTCCATGTGTTTATGTTCGAAAAAGTGCAAGAGAAGGTTCGATAAGATCAGATTCGTGAAGATGTTATATATCACAGGCATCATTCTCAGACCTATGAGAGGGGTAATTCCAAATCTCCACCAAGCCAAGGCTGATCAGTAATAAAGATTCCTCACGGGCTGGAAGCTATCCCGTTTTAATCAATCTATGTTCCTTCCAATCATGATAGAGGCAGATAAGAGATAGTAATCATTCGCCATTGAAAAGGGTAACCAAGAACCAAGGCAGAATTTCGCCGAAAGCACATGAACAGTGAAACCAAATGACGTTGTATTGTAACTGGCTAAAGTGCTGTGCGCTCCAAAGGCTGGGGCATAAAGCAAGTGTCGCGTACAGTCACAACATCACAATTCCCTATTTTAGCCTCTTGCTTGTGCTTTTCTGCAAGTTGAGCTTTACCCCACACTTTACGTGTGTGCGTGCATGAGTGAAAAAGCACGGGGGAGGTAACACAAAAAAAAGAGCGGATGCGCCATGCCGTGTTTATAAGGGGCCCGAGCACTGTATCCCTATATAAAGGAATTCCTTCGGCGGAGTGAGAGCAAAAGACCTAAACTTGGCTTATTCCCTCTCCTCCAGAAAAGGCTAGGCCAGGGCTTTTTGAAATAAAGTTTTAATAGTGATATTTTGCTTTGGATATGAACGGTAACTGTCAATAATCTCTCCACTAAAATGCAAGATATAAAGGAAAAAGCACAGCACTTCGGCAGATGATTAGTGTGTGTGCGCCCTTTAATGCATTACAACAAAAAGGCAATTCAACTCCGAAAGAAGCACTAAAGCCAAGGCACCTTGTCTGTTTTATTGATTAGAAATGCACGTCCCTCAGATTCTTACTTTGTCTGCAGCAGCAGCATACATACACACTTTCATTCATTCGCAATTCTTTAAGCCGGCTCTCCTGTCTGGCATGCCTGTTCCCTTTCTTTTCTCATCACCATCCATCCATCCATTCATTCTCTTTTGTCAAGACTAAACAAACAATCAACGAATCACAAAGGTTTGGCTTTACCTTCTCGCAATCATGGCCGCACCAACTGCTATCCCTCATCATGAAACATCTTCTCATCATCAAGGCAAAAGTGTAACAGAAGAAAGTAATGTCCCTTTATCACGTTCTCCCACTGGCACTTCACCAAGATCAATGGTATCACCCATCTACACACAAGCAGGACGTTCGGCTTTCTCAATGCCAGGTCCAAATTCTTCCTCTACAAGTCCAACAACTACAACGTGGTATTCGGCTGGATTTGCAAGTGGAAACAGTCAACGTGTACGTTCGCCAACTGGACCATTAAATGGAACGGCTGCTAATGGATCCTCACAAACTGGACAAGGACCAGTTTCATCTCAAGTTGCACCTCAGCGTGATCAATTTCCTGACGCAAGACATCCTAGCCATTTCAGAGCGGCAAGCTTTGGCTCTGCTTCCAATGCAAGTTCTTTAAGCAGTGCAGATTTACGTGATGAACCTACAACGCCAAAAGTGGAGAATGTAACTTCAATGCCATTAGGAAGAGCGTCTTCTATCCCGTTAGGATCATCTTATGAAAGAATGAAATCTCGCAGAGACAGTTGGAGTTTCGCTACTGCCGCGGGAAATCGTTGGAGTGGATTACAGAGCTTGCGCGAGCGTACTTCAACCGTCGGTTCAGCAGGGGTAACTATGCCAACATACAATAATGATAATTCTATTCCAGCAAGTGCTCCTCCTGCACAGGATACCGCTGGAGCTGGACCGATGGGTGGACTATTACGTAAATTCAGCATTGGAGGCGGTCAACCGATTAAATCTCCTCCAACCATATCCACCCCGGCTACGACTGGCAAAACAGAAGCAACCGTTGCACCTGTTTCGAGCAATTCTAACACTTCTCCTTCACGAGAGAATGATTATTTCAAAACTGTACCGCAAACCCGTGGTCGTCAAAATAGCGCAAGTAGCCCAAATCAACGTAGAAGGCCAAGTCCGATGGGCGAACGTTTGTTGATGGGACACTTTAATGCTCATTAAACGGGGGAGCGGAGCAAAAAGGGTATCAATGTCTAGCAAAGAGCTATTGATTGGATTTTATGATAACGACAACAAATTGTAACGAATAATTAAAAGGTTCAAAGTAGGTGGTCGTGATTAAAAGCCGGATTTGGATGTATGTGGGGGGTTATATGTTTCTTTCTTCTTTCTCGTGTCACTCGGTGTGTGTGTTTCTTTTTTTCAAGTTTTAATGTTCCAATATCAATCTCTTTATGGATTTCAATAAACATCAAATTGTCTCTTTTTTCTATCCTGTGATCGTTATCACTCAATGTATCTCTTATTTTTCTCTCTTTATCTTATTTGAATGGAAGGAAAACAAAATTGATTGAAAAGCATGCAGAAATACGATAGGGCAAGAGGAATTTGGCCAAAAGCGTGGTGATGAAGATGCACTTTTTTGCTGAATAAAACATTTCTTTTTGTTGTTGGAGGTTGTTTGTTTAAATTTTCTCTTCCTTTTCGATCTGCACATTTTTAACCACCCCTTTCTCAAACTCATCTGTAATTGAGCCGGCATTGACAAATGCAAGCGGGGATACACCACAATTGCGTAAAACATTCTTATCTGCTGTGCTATGGCGATTGTATGCAAATCATGATGACAAGTACGTATTGGTGAGATTGGTATAAAAGATTGATATGTTACATGATGATAGTACAATATTGAATGATCAAAGGATATCGGATTGAAGGAAACCTCTTTGCAAGAAAGTCGAGGAAGTAGGTGGTGGAAGTTGTGGCGGAGTGATTCGCATATCAGCAAACGCATTGGCAGGTAAAGCATCATTTTGTGATTGAAGCATTGCGGCTGAAGGTGGCGCAAACGAAGGCGGTGGTGTGAGTGGTAGCGGTGGAATGTTCCAAAGAGATTTTGGAATCTCAGCAATAAGTCTAAAACAATCTTTCCCGTTCAAATAAAAGTTAAAAAGTCTTTTTTCACGTAAAAATCCTAACTTTTCATAAAGTTGTAAACTTGCTTTATTGTCAATTTCTGTCTCTAAAACAATCTCTTGTGCACCTTGTTGTACCATTTTACGTAACAATGTTTGTAAAAGTGTTGTTGCAATTCCTTTTCCGCGAAAATCGGATCGGATACTGACCATGCCTATATAGCCTCGCATAAATCTGTTCCCTTTGAGATGTTTGTCAAGCTTTCCAATGACAACGCCGATCGGTGTCTCGTTGGTCTCTTGAGCAGGGTTGGGTATCTTCCCTTCTTCCGGGTAAGGATCAGGTGAGTAGTGCGCCAAGAAGCATAATTCCGGCCATTGATTGAGAAAGTATCGATATGTGTAAACTGTATAGGGTTCGCTCAATTCTCCATCGATCAATCCCATGATTGCTTGCATTTGTGTTTCTCCTTCATAAGGTGCGATGCGGATATGCTTCTTCTGAAATTCTTTCCCACTCATCTTTCCGTTCGATCTGCTATCCTTCACCTGATTGTTTGTGGAGGCGCTGTTGCCTTGCAAGATTTTGTCATCTTCCCTAACAAGCACTTCTTGTGCTCTTGCTATCTGCTCATTCGATCTGCTTGGACCGGCATTTTGTTCTTCAGCCATCCTTCTGATGGTGTTTGAAAACAAGAGTCGTTTGGATCGTGTTCAAGTATAAATTTAAGACTTTATCATTTTTATTCCGCCGGCGCTAAACACCTTCATATCACGCAAGTCACGCTACGCACAAAATTAAACCTTATCACAAGATTTCATTCAAATCAACCCAAAAAGCCAACAAAGTAATCTCGCCAAGCCTCTATAGATCGTAATGTGGCTGCAGGTAAACCTGCTAATCCTCCTTCGTTTGCCATCCTTGGCTTGATTCGATCATCAAGTGGTGCTGAAAGTGTACGTAAGTGAGAGTGTAATGCTTTGACCGAAGCACTGTCAGCCTCATTCGAAAATGAATTGTCCATGTTCGGTGCTTCTTTAAGCTGTGAAAGATGATTGTCATCAATTGCAAAAAATTGTGCATATAATGAAGCTTCAGCTTGATTGATTGCAGTCAAGAATGACATTCCTCGCTCAACTAATCTGGTCGTTGCGTTGGAAGATGTTGCCGCTTGTCCGGCTGTTTCTTCACCTTGATTTGAGGGATGGAGAGCCATTACCTCGATACGTGCAATACAATTCGCAATCATACTGCTCAACAATGCCCGCCTACCATCAAAGTAAGCGGCCCTACATTCTTCAAGCAAAGCAGAGAATTCTGGCGCACGGAATACCTCTGATCTTTCCTCTTCGTTGACGTTGGATGTATCATTGTCCCCTTTCTCATTTACACCCTTAGCTGATTGCTTACCTTTACTAATCGTACTGTCCACTTTTTCGATATCAGTCGTTGCTGGCGGCGCTTTTAGAGAAGCACGTTTCTCCAATTCATGCAAAATAGGCTGCAATTCTGCGCTTTCCTTTTCATACCGTTCGAACAATAATGCATATATACTTGGATCCGCGAAATTCATCATCACATGATGATCTGGATCGAACTCCTTCTCTTTACCTTTACCGCTTGATTCTGTTTTTGACTTTTCCCATTCTTTCAACTTTTGAGAGATTTCATTGTTCAACTCCTTGAGGCGACCAACAACGAACATCCTTATCAGGGTACCTGCACGAACGATGCAATGCTCAAACCGCATCTTATACAGAGGCGCATCTTTGTAGTGCGGATGAGCCCCTATGAATGCCAAAGCGACATCAAGACGATCTAATGTCAACATAAATTCACCCGTTTTGACAAGTTCAAGCGAAGGCGAAGAAAGGAAAGAAGTGGCAGAAGGCAAGATTGCAAAATAGGTTAATCGAATTGATAGTGCATCTGCAACGTTTGCTAAATGATCAATTCGTTCTACCATCGATTCAGCATCTTCTCGTAATCCTTCTGTGCCTTCTTCTACCATTTGTGCACCTGCCCGTAATTCAGCAATATGCACCCTTGCTGCCTCAAGATGGTCTAACAGTGTGTCTGCTTCATCTGCTGTCCGAGATATCTCTTGTAGCGCTCTAGAGTGCCCTGATTGTGTGGAAGAAGCGATAAAAGCTTGCTGTTTGGCATACCAGGAAAGGTATGAGGGTGCATCTATGAGTGGTGCTGTAGGTAGTGATGGTATCGACTGTGTTCTGTCTTCACTTCCTGCCTCATCGATCTCTGCTGACTGTGATGTTGTTGCTAGCTGGGATGGTACAGAGTGGGATTCGAGCTGAATGCCATTTTCGACGTTCTGCTTAGCATTTTGCTTTGAAGATAATAGTTGGTTTGGTCGATTATTTGATCCAATATAGTCTGCCAATGCATTCACGCTTGCCCTTTCCACTTCGTTCAAAGGTGCTAGCACATTAGACCAGTGTTCCAACTGTACCATCGAGGAGGAAGGAGATGGAGCATTCATCTTGTCGTGAACACGAACCAGCGTGTTTGAAGTGATAGCAATGATGGTTAGGACGCATACAATCTTTCTCAATCCATTCTCTCCCGCGTCTCTTTTGTGCAATTCTTCCTTTTAGTTGGCGCGTGCGAATAAACGCTGTTTGCTTGTTTGCTTGCCACTTCCCGTTCTTCTCGCCATTTGCAGGCATAAAAGCAGTGTCTTAGCAACAAACATTGACATTACTTGGCTAATGCGTCTGTGCTCATTATGCGAACGAACCCCCCACCTTTACAGAATCAAGCTATGATTACTTACTCTATTTCTACCATCACCTACATTCTTATCCACCCACTTTGAGTCGATCAATCATGTCTGCTCAGATCAAAACAATCTCAACAACACCTTTCGAAGGTCAAAAGCCTGGTACTTCAGGTTTACGTAAACGTGTAAAGGTTTTCTCCCAACCACATTATACAGAAAACTTCGTACAAGCAATCTTGTCTTCTATTCCTTCTCCAGGAGTAAAAGGCTCTACCCTCGTTGTCGGAGGAGATGGTCGTTATTTCAGTATTCCGGCTATTCAATCTATCATCCGTTTGTGCGCAGGTAATGGCGTTTCAAAATTGATCATCGGTGCAAATGGTATTTTATCCACTCCTGCTGCTAGTCATGTCATTCGCTCTTACAAGGCTACAGGTGGTATCTTGTTGACCGCTTCTCACAACCCTGGAGGTCCTGATGCCGATTTCGGTATCAAGTACAATATGGAGAATGGTGGACCCGCTCCAGAAGGTGTGACAAACAAGATCTTCGAAGTCACAAAGTCAATCAAAGAATACTACGTAGTCGAAGGTGAGGATGTCGATCTATCCAAGCCAGGAAGTTACACTTTCGGTGGATCTTTGCAAATTCAAGTCATTGATCCTGTCAAGGATTACGTTCAATACCTCGGCAAAATCTTTGACTTTGGTTTGATTAAATCTTTCTTGCAACAAGGTCAATTCACTGTACTGTTCGATGCCTTGCACGGTGTCACAGGACCTTATGGACGTGCACTGTTCGTCGAAGAATTCGGATTGCCAGAATCTTCCATTCAAAACTGTGTTCCCAGCGAAGACTTTGGTGGAGGTCACCCTGATCCTAACTTGACCTATGCTAAATCCTTGGTTGATGCAGTTGAATCGAAGAACATCTCATTCGGTGCCGCTTCTGACGGTGATGGTGATCGTAACATGATCATCGGTAAAGGCGCATTCGTCAATCCAAGCGATAGTGTCGCCATCATTGCTGATTGGGCAGATCGTGCGATCCCTTACTTCAAATCTGGCGTTAAAGGTCTCGCACGTAGTATGCCAACCAGTGGAGCAATTGACCGTGTTGCCAAGAAGAAAGGATTCGAATGCTTTGAAGTGCCAACGGGATGGAAATTCTTTGGTAACTTGATGGATGCTGGCCGTCTTTCGATCTGTGGTGAAGAGTCCTTCGGAACGGGATCTGACCATATTCGTGAAAAGGATGGTCTTTGGGCTGTTGTCGCTTGGTTGAGCATCTTGGCTGCTGCAAACAAAGAAAAAGCAGGCACGAGTGTCAATGATGTTTTACAAGCTCACTACAAGCAATACGGACGAAACTTCTTCTCACGTTATGATTACGAAGAGGTTGATTCTGCCGGTGCAAAAGAATTGATGGATAATTTGAGTAAACAATTCACCTCTTCATCCTTCAAAGGTACAAAATTGGGCGAATTCGAAGTTGCAGAAGCAGGAGATTTCTCTTACACTGACCCAATCGATGGCAGCGTAAGCAAGAATCAAGGATTGTACATCAAGTTCGTTGATGGTAGCCGAATCATCTTCCGTCTTTCAGGTACTGGAAGTGCAGGCGCAACGATTCGCTTGTACGTTGAGAAGTACTCGAATGATGCAGCTGAATTCAACGCAGACGCTCAACAAGGCTTGAAACCTCTTATCGAACAAGCACTCAAGATTTCTGAATTGCAAAAGCATACCGGTCGTGATAAGCCTACCGTCATTACTTAGATAACAACAAATACCTTGTAATGACTCTGAAGTGCAATACCAAAGAATAAATGCAAAGGCAGTGATTTGATATGATAAGCTGTCACAAATTGTAGAGATTGAGAATTTTATTCACATACTAGAGTACAATGGAAAGGGGTAGCTTTACTGATCACCAGTGCCATCCTGGTCTTTGATGTGTATTAATGATAGGTCGATTAACTCTAACAACACCGCCTGTACCGATCGATCGAGTGATTCGTTTTTCCTTTTGCAATTTTTCGGCAAATTTTTGTTGATGAGTTTTACCTTCACGCAAGACAAAGCTCAATTTTGCTTCAAATCTTGTTTGAACACCTGTCCTTCCACGACCTTTGATTTCTACACGTTTATGTGTTTTTCCTTTTCCAACCCATGCTTCTGCAACGACTAAACGAGCGGGATCAAGACCTTTTGCGATCGCATGATCTCGTGCTACTGCAAGTGTACTTTTCACACGACTTGCAGCACGTTTTTCAGAAAATTGCATTTGCAAGATTGCATAATCCAATGGTTTTCCTGATCCGATTTGATCGGCTAGAAGTTGTAGCTTTCGTGGTGATATTCTGAAATTTGCTGTGCTATATTTATGTTCGGTTATACGTTCTGAAACTTCTCCTGTGATTGGATCAACGATACGTTGTGGAGCTCCCCATCTTTTTCGATATAGTCTTGCCAAAGAAGTCTTTTCTACAGGTTGTGTTTGTTCGACCATTTCTTCGTATGCTTTATCTTCTGATGTCTTTCTTCCTAGTGCTTTTAAACCACGATCTTTGATATTTGTGAACGTACTTCGTAGAGCGTCCATGATCTCATTCGGTCGAGAAGAATGAAAACTTCTATTGGCGATTAGAGATAGGTATGGATTGCGTCGTCTGATTGCAGCCCTTGCCAGTATAGGCCCTTGCCGAAGGCATTGTCGGGCGATCATTTTGTGTGTATGATGATGGTGACTGGGAGTGGTTTTCCTTAGTGTGCCTTCTTCTTGATTAAATAAAATCGCGTGCACGTGCTTTGTTATTGTTTGTTGCGCCATCTTAACAGTGGTGAAATGCTTACACGCGAATCTCTCGTCAGCAAATCAACTTTGATTGGCTCATGACAAACAGAGAAGGCGTAACAAAGCCTTAACGCGGCGCACTAACAAATGCTACTCTACCACCAGGACAGCTAACTTCCTACATCATTCCCACCAACCGGAAATCAAACAGTCATCATGAATCCTTCAAGAGTGGCATTTGCGCCTCTATTGCGTTCAAACGCTCAATTGGCCGCCATTCCACGCTCATTTTCAGCTGTGGCAAGTACAAGCCGTGCTTCGACCTCCCTTCAAAACCAGATACGATCAATCTCAAGCACTTCAAAATCTCAACAAGCAGCACCAACACAAGATGTCGATCAATTCCAAACAGTCGCAAACAGAGATAGCAATCAATTAAGTCTCGAAAAGCCAAGAAATAACGTTGAATACGTCACAACTACTCTTGACAAAGTCGTTAACTGGGCTCGTCAAGGTTCAATGTGGCCAATGACTTTCGGTTTGGCTTGTTGTGCAGTTGAAATGATGCACGTAGCCACTGCAAGATACGATCAAGATCGTTTAGGTATCGTTTTCCGTGCTTCTCCTCGCCAAAGTGATGTGATGATCGTTGCCGGAACATTGACAAACAAGATGGCTCCAGCTTTGAGAAAAGTGTACGATCAAATGCCCGAACCTCGTTGGGTGATTTCAATGGGTTCATGTGCAAACGGTGGTGGTTATTATCATTATTCTTACAGCGTCGTTCGTGGTTGTGATAGAATTGTTCCAGTTGATTTATACGTTCCCGGTTGCCCACCCACAGCAGAAGCACTTCTACACGGAATGCTCTGTTTGATGAGAAAGATGAGAAGAGGACGCAAGATGACACTATGGTACCGCAAGTAAATTATTCATACGATGATATCATACCTTCTCTCTTTTCTACGTATATACTCTGTTTTCAATAGCATATCTTAACTGAACTGTGGCTGATGATGTCTGACCGTCATGTGGGTACATGCTGAAGAATGCACTGAGAGGAGGTAGATGCGCCACGCTAAACGAATGAGATCTAAGAGGTGCGGGCGATACGAGGGTGCTTATTGCCTCCACCTGGAGGGTTCATAAAGTCAATCTTACTCCCTTCACTCAATCAACTCTTTGATGTTATCAATAAGAACATCATTCATCGTTTCTATCATTACTGCAATCTTGCTTCTGATGCCTTTGCGTGTAAAATTGCCCACGATATTATCAAACAATCTCAAGAACACAAACTCCATTCGCACAATGTCATCTGCTTCACCTTTTGCACCTTCTCCCAACGAGAAATTAAACCTAACATCTTCTATCAAATTACAAGATGGTACAAGTCAACCTAGATTCGGAATTGGTGCATGGGATATGCGTGGAAATGAATGTTATACGGCTTTAAGGCATGCATTCGAAAAAGTAGGATATAGAAGTGTTGATACAGCACGTTATTACAGAAATGAAGAACAAGTTGGACGTGCAATACGTGATACGATCAAACAAACTTCAATAGAACGTAAAGATATTTATGCAACGACTAAGCTCTTCACAAATGATATGGGTGGTGGAGAACGTAGTAAATCAGCTTATCAGGATTCTTTGAGTAAATCAGGTTTGGATTATTGGGATTTAGTACTTTTGCATGCACCTGACGGTGGAAAGGAATACCGATTGAATACTTGGAAAACGTTGTCAGAATTCGTAAAGAGCGGTCAAATTCGTTCTTTAGGAATCAGTAATTTCGGTGCTCATCATATCGAAGAATTAATGTCATCAGAAGTGGGAAAAGCGATCAAACCGGTAGTTAATCAAATCGAATGTCATCCTTTCTTTGCACAAAAAGAAGTTCGTAAAGCATCAGAGAAACATGGAATCGTAGTTCAAGCTTATTGTCCACTTGCACGTGGACGGTATTATGGTGATAAAACTTTGGTAGATGTGGCAAAACGAAATGATAAATCTGAAGCTCAGATCATGTTACGTTGGTTGATTCAACATGGTATCATTCCTTTACCCAAATCTAGCAACGAGAAACGCCAATTGGAAAACGCTCAAAGTTTGGAGTTCACACTTTCAGATGAAGACATGAAACTCTTGGACTCTTTGGATCGCGGTAAACGAGGTGCTGTCGAATCACAAACGATGAGTCAAGATGCACCATAAGACGCTTTGCCGTCAACAAGACGTACAAGCCCAGCGGGCACATGTAAGAACAGTAGGGATCTTCAAATGAATAATATTATACTGAGATCATCACTTTATAGTAGATTGAGCATTTGGCATTACTTCTTTCCTTTGCCCTTACCGACAGCACCTTTCTTGGCAGGTTGTTGTGCCTTGCCTTTTGCTTCACGACCTCCAACACTCATCCATTCAAAGTCATCTTCGCTGAATCCACCTCGTGAAGGAGATGCTGCTTTTTGAGGTGACGATGTTGTTGTAGCCTCTGTAGCTGCTGATTCCTCCGCTCCACCGAATTTTCTACGGAATCGTGCCATCCTTCCACTTTCATCTTCGTCACCCGCACCACGAGCATCGGATTTGGGATTCCATAAAGGATGATTTGTTGGATCACGCGTTAGACGAGTAACTCCACGAGGTGATGTTGTATGCAATTGAATGGTTGAACCGTCAGACAATACTGTCAATGTTCCAAAATGAGGTACTGGTCTTGGAATTGTGCTATTAGCCCATAATTCTTCAGATGGTTTGGAGTCTTTGGACTTTTCGATATTTTTTGCAGCTAGAATTGCACTTGTAGAAAATGCTCTGGAAGAGGATGCGATCGGAGATGTTGATGAAGTAGAAGCAGCGGCCCATGAAGAGAACGATCTTCCACTTCCGCCTCCGCCTCCGCAAGCTAGCTTTCCTTTGTTTGCTCGTAACTCTTCCATTTGTTTCTCTCTGGAAGCTTTGATGCTCTCATTCGATCCTAATTCTGTTTCAGGTCGAAATTTAAGTTGAAAAGCGGATTTTTTATCGTTCAATTCTCCTTGAACGACATTTTGTTGTAGTACCTTAATCACATCTTCCCATTTTGTGAAACTTTGATCAATCTTTTCAGAATCTGTTTCAGATTTTGATTCAACGAATTCATTTCGTACCATTTTACGCCATGCTGATGCAGTTGCCAAATCTCCGGCAAATGTTTGACGAGCTGTTCGAAGAATACGTTTGTATAACCCAATGGCTTGTTGCCTTTGAGCAGGCGATAGAGCTGACATTGTCTAGTAGTTTGAATCGTAGTGATGGCGGTGCAATAAGCAAATGCCAACCTTTCTTCTCATTCTTGATTACGCTCATCCCCTTCTTCCGTTGATTTTTTCGGATTTGTCTGTTGCACGTGAATGTTAGCTTTTAAAGGAGCGCGGGAGATTAACAGAGTAGAGCAATATTCTAGCGTGGTTACAGCATTGCATATGCATACGCTGCCGAGAGAATGCTGCTTAAAATGCACAGACGCTATTCTTCCTGTCGATCGCTCGCTGTCTTCCTTCTTGATTGTCACCATCTCTAATCTCAAAATAGATTCTCATCAAAATGAACAAAGGAAAGAAATCCACAAGCTCAACCGGATCAAAAATACCAGCATCCGTTCCAAGAGCATCTACCTCATCCAGTGCGCCTACCTCAAGTAACTCTTCCAACTCTGCTGCTGGTGCATTACAAACACTTTTCAAATCATACGGTGATAATACACCTGCTCGATTAAAACTCATCGATGCATTTTGCGCATTCTTGGTTGTCTTGGGGGTTATTCAATTCGTTTATTGTATTGTAATCACCGATTATCCTTTCAATAGCTTCTTGGCAGGGTAATTATTTTGAAGGGAACAACTTATAACAGCACCTTGCTCACATCATGCTCTCCCTCTAACACTGCATTCCTTCTTCAGATTCTCCGCAACAGTCGGTCAATTCGTCTTGGCTGCATCATTGCGTATACAAGCAAACAAAGCTAACACTAAAGATTTCAACGGAATGACACCAGAGAGGTACGTATTGTCCTGTATACCGTATTTGTGTTCGACTGATGATTATTGACACGATGCTCACCTCCCCGCTTTGCAGAGCATTTGCAGATTTCGTCTTTGGCTCGATTGTGCTACACTTTTTCGTGTACAATTTCCTAGGGTAAACGTAGGCGAAATCATAACAATTGTATATTATCTGGTCTCAAACAATCTCATTCCTGATTGAACTATACTGCATAGATGATTATGGTCTAGGGAGTGTATCATATAAAGTAACTACCCATCACAAGCGAGATTTCACCTTTGGCATCAAAAATGACTTGATAAGGTTGTCTGGATTTGCCAAACGGGTTTTGGAGTAATGATAAGGTTTAGGGACTTCTTTTTCAAAAGATGCTTGAGCTTCTTTGCTTGGTTGTTTGTTGTCACTCAATAGCTCTGACAAGGCCATATCGGCGATAGCAAAAGAACAAGCAGGAATACGCGGCATTCCATGACCGGTAAAACCTGCAGAGACATAAATGCCTTGATCTACCCTGCCCACGTATGGCAAAAGATCATGAGAATAACCCAATATGCCCGTCCAAATAGATTGCAGCTTACCCGATTGTTGTCCTTCAGGACTGCCTTCCTTCCAATTCTTGAAAAATTGGGGCATGAAAGAGGAAAAGTATGACTTTGTGTTTGGTAAAAGAGTGGAATCATCGTTATTATTGTACCATTTCTCAACTTCATTCGCATATACCGAACGACCACCTCCCAAGATCACACTTTGATCGCCAACGCCTGGAACTCTACCGCGTCCTTGACGAACGATCATATAGTCCATCTGATCGACACGTAAGCCATAAGTAAGATGCATTTTTCCTTCACCTCCATGTGCTTCTGAGCCAATTTGATGGTTCTTTGAGAGATTGATGGCGGCCACGGTACCTTTTACAGGAACGATCTTATCCTTAAACTGCGGTAAGATACCCGAAGTCCAAGCATTCGTACAAACGATTACAATCTGTGCATGGAATGAACCTGATTCCAAGAAGATTTGATGTGAAATATTAGGCTTTTGTTTGATTTGAATGACAGGTTTGTTTGTCATCACGTTAAAATTTCCATTTGCACGTTTGATAGATTTAAGGATCAATGCAGTTGCTAATTTGTATGGCCAAAGATGACCTGCTAAATAATGACATCCCCATTGACCTCCAATCGTGCCTGCCATTTTGTTCAAAACGTTTTTATCTTTAATTTCATGGACGTCATCATTCTTTACACTTTGCGGGAATAGTCGTTTACGTTTATCAAAGTCCATCTTTGCTTCTTTTGCCGCCTCTTTATCGAAGAAGACATCGACCGCACGGGTGACATGTAAATCACAATCAATGTCTTCCGATCGAATTAAATCGACATAATTATGAATTTGTGAAGATTCAAAAGAATAAAGTTCATTTACTGCTTTTGCTCCTAATCGTTTTGCATCTGCACGAAAGCCAAGGTAATTCAATGGCTTGCAATGTCCACCGTTACGTGCGGTCGCACCTTCACATAAGTTTTGTGCATCTAATAAAAGAATCGTTGGCTTTTTTGCACTTTTTGACATATTTTCTATTTGTTTTGTCAATCGATGGACCACCATTGCACCTGAAAGACCTGATCCGATCACACAAATGTCCACCGAATAAGGAACTGTTGTACATGTTTGTAGTTTTGCGATGCTTTCTTCGCGTTCGCTCAGCCAAAATGGCTTTGTACGTTCTTCACCCAGGGGCAATAAGATTGTCTTCTTTGCTAGCGACATTTGGGTTGTAGTTTGTCTTCATCTTGATATCAAATCCTGTTGGAATGAACTTATATATTATTCCATACGTGATCACGTACCATAAACTCGTTCAGAGTCACTGAAATTGCTCTCGCTCTCATTTCGGTTCATGCATCATCATTTCATTTCCGGCCCGTCAAATTCCCACGGCGCCGTGAGAAATATTAGGTTTCGTGCAATTTGACTGACTTGTTTGTTTGTATGAAATGCATCCTTACTGCAATTCTACCCACCCATCCAACTCAGTTACAGTTCCTCGATCTGGGGAAACACCCCACAATTCACTCGTAACGATCGTGCAAAAAGACCGAAATGAATGATTATCAGATGCTTTACATATTCGTACTTCTTGACTGACAACGGTCGGAATTGGCCGAAATTAATTATCCGTACGAAAATAGTCATCACAGCCATTTCCTTTACAGCAAAGACTCAAAAAAGAGAATGACGGCATGGAAGCTGTGTAAATTGACTAATTTCATCCAATCAAAATTAATCAATCATAAAATGACATAAAAAGAAAGCCATCCGTCTATCTGATTTCATCATTCCATCCCCTCCTCAACAAAAAATCCGCAAAAACGGCAACAATTTCAACATGACAACCGAGCTTGACATGAAAGACGCAAGTATGATCAAAGATTCGGACTACAAGTCCAACCCTACGCCAACGGAACTGGTCAATACTTTACAAGCTCAAACAATTAATAACAAAAACACAGCAGCTGATGAACCTGTTTTCATTCGTGAAGCAGAAAGAGAATTAAGTTGGTGGCAATCAACTTTTCGTTCAACATGGTTTCAAATTATAATCGTTGGTGCTTTGGCTTTTTGCGGTCCTGCGATGGCAGATGCGATTTCAGGTTTAGGAGGTGGTGGTGCAGCAACACCTTGGGCTGTAAATGCAGCAACTTCAGCAACCTATGCTACAAGTGCAATCGTTTGTTTGTTTGGTGGTCCTTTGGCAACTCGAGTTGGAATTCGAAGATTGTTAATTTTAGGAGCTGCAACTTTTCCGATCAATGGTAGTTCGTATTATGTTAATTTGAAATATCACTTACAGTGGTATTTGGTCTTCGGTCGTTCGATCGGTGGAATAGGAACTGGTCTTTGGTACATTGCTGAATCAACAATGGTTCTCACTTACCCCGAAGATCACAGACGTGGAAGTATGCTGGCATTTTGGGTAATGAGTAGAAATCTCGGTCAAATCGTTGGTGGGGTGATCAGTTTGGCAAAAAATTATCACAACACACACGGAAAAACGATTGCAACGGATACGTTCTTGATCTTTGTTGCAATTGAAGCTTGTGGATTACCAATTTCACTTTTAATTTCACCTTCGGACAAGGTTAGAAGACAAGATGGTACTTCGATCAGAATGTCTCCTCCTTTACCGTGGCGCGAAGAATTCAAGATTGTCTGGCAAACAGTCATTCAACCTCGTTCGCTTTGGTTAAGTCCTTATTTCTTTTATTCATTCTTTTACGGTGAGGTTTTGGGTACTTATTTGACCTTAAACTTTGACGTTCGTGCTCGTGCGTTATCTTCTCTCATCGTTCCAATCTCAATTATTGTTTTCGTTTATTCGTTCGGACTTTTGTTGGATTACAAGGCATGGTCCCAACGTAAGCGAGCAGTGCTTGCTTACATTATTGTCACAGTTCCAACTTTGGCTTCATTTATTTGGTTAATGGTAAATCAAGTAAATCATAACAAACATGGTCATAAAAAATTGGATTGGACTTCACCTGGTTGGCCAAATGCTTATTTACCATTTTTGATCATGCAAATTAGTGGTTATCAATGTCAAACGTTTATTTATTGGTTGATTTCTTGTCATTCGGATGATATTAACACAAATGCAAGAGCGGCAGGCGTTTTCCGTGCTATCGAAGCAAGCGGTCAAGCAATCTCTTATGGTTTGAATAGTTGTGTAAAATCAAACATTCCTCCTCTTGCCATCAATTGGGGTTTATTTGCGCTTACAGTTCCTGGTTGCATTATGGTGATTGCTAAAACTCCACGTGAAAGAGTCCATGATCAAATAGTTCACGACGATGCAGATGTGGACAAAAAAGTTCAAGCTGAACATTGACCAGCTTTGAAGCAAAAGAAAGTTGTTTGTGTATGCTCTTTACTTTACAATGATGGAAATTGAATGAATTTATACTTTATAACCGAGAGTGTATCGAAAATAATATGTTACTATTGCATTTTATATTGTACACAATTCAAGACAGGAATTTCTACTAGACACACGACGTGGTGATCAATAATTGTCGTCTGATCTGTAGCGCTTGCGTTCACGATCATCTTGGCCGCCGCTACCACCACCTCTGCCGCCACCGCCAAAGAAGTTTGGATTGAAATGCCCCATTCCCATGGGAGGTCTTCCTTGCCCTCTTCCGAATCCTCCACCTCCACGACCACCTCTGAATCCATTTCCACCTCCGCCGCCTCCCATCATACCCATCATCATTGGGTTCATCATTCCGCCAGGCATGCCCATCTGACCACCATTACCGCCTCCCATTCGTATAGGTGCTCCTGCCATCGGGAAGCCAGATTGACCGCCTCCTCCACCATCCCTTCTGTTGTTTTCGCGTGCTCCCATTGCCATTCCACCTCGTCCTCCTCCTGAGCCACCACCACCTCCCATACCTCCTCCACGGTTTGGTCTTCCTTCGCGTGGAGGTGGATCTTTGGGCAACGTTTTGAACGGATTTCCGTTTGCAGAAGTTGTAAGGGTAACAGTGGCCCGTTTATGATTTATATCATTTTGATCAAACCAACTTTTGAGCTTGTATGATTCATCTTCGCTAATCGTTTCAACAAATGCAACACCTTTTGATTTTCCATTAACTTTATGTTCACTAAATGTGATATCGTTCAATCGAATAGGAATTCCAATATCATTTGCAATCTTTCGAATATCTTCGTCGCTTACCCACCAATCCAATTCGCCAACATAAAGTGCATTTTGAACGCTTGGATCGGTAACTTTTGGTCGTCCTGCCAAAGCGATTCGAGCAGCTGCCGGATCAGCAGCAGCGGTAACATCTTCCATTTGTTGTCTTCCTTGATCTGGTGCGTAAGAGGATGTAGGCTTATTTGCTTGAGCAGGAGCATATGATCCTGATGATTGTCCGTTTGAGTAATTTGCTCCTGTTTGAGCAGCCGATTGTGGTGCATCATCCCGACTTCTCTTATTGCCTGCTATCGATGAGCTGTTTTCGCTTTGGCCCATATTGGAATCTTCATCTTTGGCTTGTTGTCCGGCAGATGACGATGCTGGCGGCTCTTCCTTTACTTCAGTCGTGGAATAGATGTCGGCATCCTGATTCGGGAAGAGATCTAGGTGTCAGTACTTTTATTCATCTGTGCTTTTCATTATCCCAACTGTGCAACAGCAAAAGAGACCGTGCGTTTAGGCACTAAATGTCTCTCATTTTCCACTCCTGATTATTCATTAATGCAACACTCACGCCGTACAAATCGAATTCGTCATCCATGATTGTTTCAAGTATAGTGTATACAAGGGAACGAGCTTTTCTATCCTACGATACAAAGATACACAACTGATGCAATGTGATTGTAACCAGAATTGTTTTGGCAAAGCGTTCGACACGGTTGGGTATTTTTCTTCGGCTGAATACTCCAGATACAAGAACTGTGCTTTCTAGCGTTGAAATTAGGCCTGTTGGAGTTGTGAGATGGTGTTCGTGATGGATGAGTATCTGGATGTTTGCAATAGATAGACGCATGCATGTACGCACTTTCTTCACATTAAATTCAGTTCATGACGCCAAACAATCGAGTAGCCCAAACCAGCAAGCACGTGTGGTTGTGACATAAGCAGGAGTGAGTCAATTATGGACGCGTATTCTTAAGCTTAAGAAGTCTGTGCGCAATGGTCCACTTGGAATATGAGCGTCGTATACTCTCACACTCACACACAATTGAACCATCACTATCACCCATCACAGCATTCAAAGATGACCGCTCCGGGACAGACGTGGTCTTCTCAACCATATCTAGATCATATCTCTGCTGGACCATCGTATGGAGGACATTCAGACGCATTCGATGATGCAAGAAAGCATACCCAACAACCAATCGTGACCGGAACTTCAATTCTGGCTATTAAATATCGCGATGGAATTATGATGGCAGCTGATACTTTGGCTTCTTATGGAAGTTTGGCACGCTTTATGGACGTCAGAAGAATCACATCTGTCGAAGGTGCCAATTCTATCATCGGTTGCAGTGGTGATCAAAGCGATTTCCAATACATTCAACATTCGATCGATAAATTAATGTAAGTTGCGAATTGAACTCTCCGATGATCTTTCGATTGTCTGACCCTTTTTCTCTTCCTTGACTCGCAGGCTGCGAGAATTTAATGCAGGAGATGGACATACGCTCACCCCTCCTCAACTATACAGATCTCTGTCACGTATGATGTACGCACGTAGAAGCAAGGTTGATCCTTTGTGGAACTCGCTCGTTTTGGCAGGAATCGATCCTACAACAGGTGTACCTTTCTTGGGTTATGTAGATCTTTTGGGCACCACATATCAAAGCAGTACAATTGCAACAGGTTTCGGTTTGCATCTTGCACAACCACTTTTACGCAAAGAAGTTGAAGGAAGGGAACATGAGATTGATGAAGCAAGAGCAAGAGAAATTTTGGAAAATTGTATGAGAGTTTTGTTTTACCGTGATGCACGTAGTTTGAACCGATTCCAAATCGCAAAAATTACAAAAGAAGGAGCAGAGATTGGAGAGCCAATGAGCACATCAACCAATTGGGCTTTCGCTGAAGGATTGCGTGGATATGGACCACAAACCCAATGATGTATTCATTTACCAGCATATATTTCATGTGTGTCAATGTATTCATTCTAGACAGCGAGGCTTCAAATGCGTGATATAAGCGTGCTGTACTAATTGCTTAACACAGACTTCTGCAAACGTATGATATGAAAATGGTGTTAATAGAATCGTATTTTATACATGGTATACGAATACATACAAGAGTCTAAAAGATGCTATCCAAACATGTCGATGCAGAATAAAAAAAAAGAAACAAAAAAAGTTTACAAGAAAAGGGGGGACACAATTAACGAATATGGACTGCTAGCCGACAGATGGGGAAAAGTATGTTGAGATTCGAGTAATAATTAAGTTCAGACAGAATTGTTGATATCATTACCGCCACCACCCGACGAATTTGTTCCTCTAAACCATTGCTCCCATGCGGCAAAATCTAATGGACCTCCTGGCATGCCATCAAGTGATAAAGGATCCAAAGCAGGAGCGTTTGCACTTGTCATTGAAGCTGAAGAAGTTGTTATATCTGCTTGAGGTACACTACTGCTTGCTCTACCAAAAGAATAAGAAGAAAATTCTGAAGGTTGAGAAGTGTTTATCGTATTACCACCCGCAGCCGCTGACGACGAAGATTCATCTTGATTGGAAGGAAGTAAAGATGCAGGTTGAGCAATTTGACCGTCAAAAGTGTATAAATCCGAAAAATTAAATGTTGGCGGAATTGCATCTTCTCCTGTAGAATTTCCGTTTGCATTCAAACTATTGTTCGTTTGTGCTGCTGCCTGAGCAGCCAAAGAACTGAACCATGCCGGATCTGCGAATGTAGGTGGTTGATTTTCATTATCTGTCAAACCAGAAGGCAGCGCAAGTCCCTTGGCAATCGAACTAAACGAAAGTCTTGGACCGCCAGGATAAGATTGAATCATCGTTTCACCACCCGGAACAGGAATCATTGTCAAAAGTTTAGATCCTTGTCGATCAACCGGTCTTCCTTGTGCGTCTGCCCAAACGCCACCTGCAACATGGGTCAAATCCCTTGTGATATCATTTGCATTGCTTCCGCTTCTATCATCTCGCTGACCGGATAATTGTGCATTGGCGCCATTGGACATCAAATTTGCCATATCTCCTACCGCACGCCATGCTCCAGCACTGTTTTCAGCGTTTGTACGAATAAGAGCCGGAACTGCACCAGCTTCAGTTTCTTGTAAGATCATCGTTCCTGCCGGTAGATCATCCAACATCAAATTGTGCATCGTTGCCACGTAAACACCACCGCCTGGGCGATTTAGATCAGGTTTGAAAACGATATTACGAACATTATCGATCCATCTACGATTGCTCACACCAGCAGTAGGGTTCAAGTTTCCACTATTGGGTGTATTCTTGTATTTTCCAATAGCCGATTTGTGTAAAAGAGCAATAACACCTGCCGTCTTTGCTCTCATGGAAAGATCTTGATGTGAATCATGTTCGCCTTGTCTTTCAAATCGCATGACGCAATCATGTGCCTTTTGAATAGATGCCAATGCTTCTTGATCACCTCGTCTGATCCAAGCGTGATATTGAACAGTCGTACAGAACACCAATCCGTAGGAAACGAATTGCATCGTATCCAAGTAAAATTCGTTGAGATCTACCCAAGCAATCGACTCTCGCGAAATCTTGATCAACGTTGTCATACGTTCGATCGTGAGAGAAAAGTTCAAATGTTGTGGACAATTGTAAGAGATCCTCATGAATACGCGGAAGAAGAGATGCATCAAGCATGAATAGGAAATGTGTAGAATTCCGGCTGGAGCGGGTGATTCTTTTGCTCCTCTGAATTGCAATGCTGTGGGCAGATTATCCTTCCATCGATCGATATCGTTCAAAAGACCAATGATCTCTTCATCAGTAGTTTTCATCAAACCTGTTGGACTGTAGATTGTTTTCATCACCCTTCCAAATAGGATGCTTAATTTCAGCATTTCGGTATTGAATCCAAACGGTCGATCTGCTCCAGGAACTGCGGGTAAATCGGAAGGGTACCTAAGAATTTCATACGGAGACGGTAGACGAACGTCGCAATCGGTCAAATCAATTGCCAAAGGATGACCAAGTGAAATCGAAACGCAACGATCTGCCGTTACGCAACAGCCCCAAATTCGACGTTTTTGTTCCAAAAAGAATGCATCATCGTCAACGTCATCTCGCTTTGATGCATCGCGGTGCAGACCTAAATCTTGCGCCATTCGAACGGCAGCTCCTACACGATTCCAATAACGCGAACCTGCTTGAACGGCTGTTGTGCCATGAATATCGCTATGCAAGCTCATAATCAATAAAGATTTGACATTATTGTTATTTGAATTGCTTAAAATGTCAACATTTTTGAACATTCCGTGTAGTGTCATCTTGATAACCGAAAGAACTTCTTTTGGTACTTCTCTGCTCAAAGCGGCGATTCCACAAATTGCATAAAGCATGAGCGGTGGTGGTGATGACATGTGTAAGAATTCACTCTTTGTCACAACCGGAAATAAGAAGCCCAACTTTTCGAAATAGGTATTGACCAACTTTTCCGCCACATCTCCGGCCAATCTACCACGGAGAGATTCGGGAACACGAACGATTTCATCTGCTGATTCTTCTCCATCTTCTGCTTCAGCTATCGCTCCTTTTGGAGGTTTGTGGAATTTGATGATCCCATCTCCTGATGCTCCCACTTCGAATGTTTGATGATGCTGTAGATCATGTTCTTCGATCGCAGCTCCTGGTACGAATGCTGTTGAATGAACAATGTAAGCAAGTGATGTAGGACCCAAGACGCGAGTGTCAGGAGGTGGCGGTGGTGAATCATCCGCTGAAGGTTGACGAGAAGATTGACTAGCTTGAATTAGTTGTTTAGATCTCATCAAAGAAGTGGACGAGCCATCTCTGTTTGGATGTTGATAATTTGATCTTTCACGTACAAAAGGTGAACTTTCTTGACTTGAACTATTATCTGCTTTTGGCCATTCTTGTGTTGAACTGATTTGCACCGGTGGTCCATCCAAATTGGCTTTGTTAACAGACGGTGTGCCAGATCCTGAACGCATTGGAACCGAAATTGGAGGACCGCCAGGCATCAATGATGGATTTCCAAACGGCATAACCGACAAAGGTAATGTTCGAGAAGGATGTACGAGTGCAGGAATCATTCCCGCTCCCAAATGAGTCCTTTCGGCAGCAGCGGCCGCCGCTGCCGCCGCCGCAATTTCTTCTGCTTCCCTTTCCCGCTTCTTTTTGAACCGCGTCTCTGTGATTGGTAAGAAGAAGGTACAATCGAAGCCATATTGTCTGCAATGGGCGCAAGTTAATCCTCCGTTGCCGTTGTTTGGATCTCCTAGTAGAGGTCCTCCGTCATCTATGACATCACAACGAATCTTTTTCCTTCTGCATGAATCACATGCACGCGCCGTTTTGATTCGTTTGGTCATTTGTTGTTGAGCGGTCAAAGAATTGGATTTGGAGTGATTGGATGAGGATTGCGTTCCGTTAATACGGTCTACAGATCGAGAAGGGGAAGAATCTCCATCAGAAGCAAACGCGCCCGAACTTGCTCGTTCCATTTGAGCGCCATGAGATGGTGTCCTACGTAATTCTTTCCCTTCTTCTTCTGGTGTCTTGCGTTTACGACCATTTGATGAGTGTATTGCATCAGAATGAATTTTGAAAGGCATCTTGCGAATTGATGTCAGTGAAGGCTTGTGAGAAATTGAACCGGATGAAATAGCAGAAGTAGAAGATGAAGCTGTGGAAATTGTATGATGATGTGAATATCGCGAGTCACTTGTACTGGATTGCGGAGTATGAATGGAAGATGATGAATGACCGGATGGTGAGGTTAAATGCCTTTGATTTGATGATGATGATGATCTATTTAGCCCTTGTACAATTGAATGATCCGAAGAAGACATATTCTAAGGATTACACTGGTGATAATGAATCCATCAGGGTGTAAATGATTTGATTGTGATCCTTTTTTTTGCCTTGAACGATGATGATGATGAGAGAGGACAAGAAGAGGAGAGGATGTATGCGTGAATGTTGAATTTCAAAGCGGAGAAGGGGGGGTTTGCTGCTGCTGCTGCTTGCTGCCTTTTTCTTTCTTTATGCGGGAATTCCTTTTGACTGATAATGTGTGCCGTCGGTTTTGATTAAAGAAAAAGAGTTTAATTCGCCTTGAGAGTTGCCTGCCTGCATAGGGTTATATATCTTTTGTACCTTTTTTTATTTTGTGATTTTAAACACACGCGCTTCTATGCATGCAAACTTATTAAGAATACACACGCACTGGGTTCGGGGCTTTTCTGCAGGCACAAAAGCGCTTTTAGAGAGAAAAGAGTCAGTAAAGCCAATACACAGTTGATTTGCCTCAATTTCTCGTACGGTGGTGCGTCGGAAGCGAACGTCATTGGAATTGATTGAAATTTGTTCAAAAATCTCGTGATTCTCTATTGAAACAATGTGATCTTTGCTTCAACCTTTTGACACATGGAGTAAAACCACAAAATTATGCCCGAGCTCAATTATCCGAATTTAATCGGAAATCGATCTTGTCCGTAAACCTGACTTCGGTTTTGTGGCAAAGAAAAGCAACTTACCTTGATCAAAATTGAACGACTGAATAAAAAAGATGATGGCAAAGAAGCAAAAGGAATAATATATAAACAATCATCATATTCAAGTTGAAATTGCGTGCGCAACATTTTGACATGATCTTAAAGAGGTTCACACTTCTTGATTCAGAATCGGTGGCAGTGCAATGAGAATTAATAAAAAATACGGTTAAATCTTTGTTCCTACGGTACGAGCGGTAATAAGTTAGACATTCTATCGGTAAGGGTTATTTCCAAGACAGAGCAACCACGAGAGGAACGCAATCTAATTATTCCCTTGCATTTTCTTTCTCCAACGCAGGAACCCGAAGGGCTTGAGCGAAAGAATTAATGATATATTGTGTGTGACAACAGTCCTTTAGCCCCCTTTTCACTCAACCTTTTCCGTGATAAGATGTCAACATTTAAAAATAATAATAAAAATAGATTGCCAAGACAATTTTAGAGGATTGTGGGTGCATTCCATGGACATACATCTCCGATGAAAACCACTAAAACCCGTACTGATGCAACTCGGAGATGCAAAGACGATGCCACACAAATCATAATGATCGCTTTTGAAATGTCTCTGAATTAGGTCCCTATTTTACATGGAGGATATGCAATGCATCTGAATGTACTTAATCTGATTGATGCTATACATAGCTACTTTCGTTTTTCAATCATCTTTCTCCGTATATACACTTACATATCTCGACATTCTTTTTTAGTCTGCTGCACAAAGATGTACTCCAGACAACTAAACGTGCATAATTCCAATTTCAATCAACGGATGCGAGACATGGGAAAGTTTTTTTTCCTTGATTCTATTAATACGCTTTATGATCGTCTTCAACGTGCCGAAATGATGTACGAGTGGCTTTGACTAACGTGCCGAACGTGCCGAACTGTACCTGACGTGCCGAAACTAGAAAAAAAAGATAGCCCGCGCGTTGATCATAAAAAAAGTCATTATCAGTTATCATACAACTTGTTCTTACACTACATTACATAATCTGCTTTCAACTTTCAAGCATCTTTGTCCAATCGAATGGAGTCCATTGTGAACGAAACGATTTTAACAAATTTTGCAATTCGTCACTCTGTAATCTTCTTGGCTTTCTCCATCTCTTTGGCTCATAGTCCAATAATGTTCCTATAATCTCGCATGCAAACCATTGTGGAAACTCCCCCTTTTCACCGCTAAGACCACCTTGATTTAAGTCTTCATCACCGCCATAGTCATCTCTTCCTTTTCCCTTTCCACCCGTCTCTTCGATCACATGACCATATCCTTTCTCTCCACGATGATCCCATTGAACCATAAAGTATGGCAAATCAGGAACCATGGAATTTCTGAATGGTCTCTCTTTTGAGAATTGAATCAAACCTTTATTTTGACTCCAATCATCACTTTGTTCGATGATCGATTGACGAAAATAGCCGGGCATTTGAGTGAATAAACCTTTTTCCAATGGCACAGCTTCTATGAGAGAATGCTTTTGATGTCTGAGAGATTTTACCGTTTCGAAAAATATGACTCCATTACCATTCTTGGCTTCCATTTGAATTAGGCATTTCATGAAATTCTTCACTTCTTCCCACGTATCGTCATCAGCTTCCAGCATGCTTAAGTGATGTTGCATAGGCACAATACAACAATGTCTTGCAACCAAAGGTTCTCGTTCGGGCATAGTCAAAAAAGCTCTTGTACCGCTACTGATCACAGTCGCTCTAGGCTGACGATCATCTTGCCAACAAAATTCACACGAATCCAAGGCTTTTTTGGTTTTTGCAAAATCTTGAATTGCAAACATCCTTTTCATTGCATCACTTTTCATCTTTTTACGTCCAAGCTTTTCAACGTTTTCATCCATGTAATCAACTTCATTCTTGAACGTTTTATCATTCATTATTCGATCGGCCATCTGTGCATCCATATCCTTTTGATTGGCTGATCCTGCACTGAATCTTTCTTCCCGTACTAGATCTTCCAACGTCTTTTCATCATCGTCAGCGTTATAGCGTACAATCTTTCCCGTCTTTCCATCACGAGTTTCGAAATTGTTCATCTTTCGCTTAGCGCTTTTGCTCATCATTGCTTCTTGACCACTATCTTTCGATGTTCCAACATCGTACAATCGACCTCTTCCATCTAGCGTAGGTAGAACCTGTATTTGTGTATTGGATGACGTCCTTCCATCTTCACCTGCCCGATGAGTAGCCACTTTGCTGAATCCAAGATCGCCTCCTGCTTCTGATTTTGCTTTCTCTCTTTCGTATTCCGCTCGAAGTTCAACAGCATTTGCAGATCCCATCATTTCAGCTCTCATCACTTTAGCCGAGAGCTTGTTTAGTGCTGCAACACTGAGGGCCGGAGTGGAATTTAGCAAATCTGTTTGTGATTCGTTAATCGCTCCTTGGATTGATTGTTTTACCTGATCATCATTTCGCTGTACAGTAGGATCGAATACACTGGGAATTGGTGTCGAGCTTTTTGATGATCCAGCTTGTGAAACTTCCCGACGTAAGGAGCTTGCTATGGGTACATTATTTGATGCACCGGGAGTAGAAGGAGTGGAATCCTCGCCAGGTTTGCGAAATGATGACTGCCTTGAAGAAGCACGCGAGCTTTGTACGGAAGATGAAGCCGTACCCGATGCTTTTATACCTTTGCGTTCTCTCCTACCTTTTTCTTGATCATCAATGTATTGCCTCTCCATTCTTGCTTCGTTAAATGCTTCCATGCTTCCATACCGTTCTAAAGCGATTTCTTCCACTTCTCTACCTTCTTCTTCTGCAGCTTCGTAAATCCGTCTTAATTTCATCATCCTCCATTGTGATCCTGGTCCTCCCATCGTTGTTGATTTCTTATTTGTATCGTCATAGTCATCAATGTGTTTGCCTTCGATGAATTGTTTATTTAATTCACGTGAGGATGGCATTTTGAACAAGATGGATGTCAAAGAAGAAGAAGGATGTCAAAAGCTTAAACTTAATCTTACACATGCATACACGCTACAGTGGAGTCGCGTAAAGTCCGCTCTTGTTTCTCTATCGCCGATCCTGACACTATAAAGAGCTCGGGAGTATCATACTCTTGACCATCAGATACTCACACATTTATCATACATAAAGTCCTACACTACGCATGAAAGGGCAAAAAATACAAAGGGTAGATTGATAAATTACATATACATACATTGACATCAAAACATTCAAGCAGCCCGTACACGACGAGCAGTGCCAATCACCGTACTGTTCACCTTGCTCGCAAAGCGCAAAGAGCACAAAGATTCACTTTGATGTTCCAATAATGGAGAAAGAGCCAATAACATGAGTGTTTTCGAATTTCCTCCTAGACTGTTCTTCAATAACCAAGTCAAGGTTGAATTGCGATAAGGTATATGTGCAGCTGAATTGGTAACGGTTGTAGAAGGCGTTGTTCCATTTGATGATTTAGCCTGTCCACCTAAAGCTGTGATCACATCGGCTAAACTTGATAAACTCTTGTTAATATTTTGCGCTTCTTTTAATCTTGCAGCATCTTTGCCGCTTCCGCTATTGTTCAATCTTTCAGAACCAGCCAAGTCGACCAAGTTTAATACTGCATCACTGCTTTCCAAAGTCTCCAGATTGCGACCTACGACGCGCAATGTAAAGACACAATGTGATCGAGACGATCGTTCATTCATCAGCGTGGCAGCAACTTGTCTACGTCTTTTGGCTCGAGATAAAAGTGTGAAAAGCTCTTTAGGTGATTGAAGCTGAACTGTAACCGTATCAGAGACGAATGTACGACCTTTTTCATGTCGGATCTCGTGCTTAGCTTTGTCGACCTCAGCTTTTCCTAACAAGTCATTGATACCCTCGTTATAGATTTCAAGCATTTGCCCTTCGAATGAATACTGCCATCCCTTACTCTGCAAGTCATTGGCTGTTTTCCATAGCATAGAGACTGCTCTTGGGATCAAACCTTCATCATTGGCAAAATTGGCTTCCGTCAAAGCGTCTGCGTCGGGTAGATTGGGACCCTCGAGCGTGAATGTTTTACCAGACCCAGTTTGACCATAAGCAAAGATGCAAGTATTATAGCCGTCCAGGACGCTCTGGATTAGATGCTCAACTTCGGCAAAAACATCTGCTTGAGAGGCATCAGGTCGGAATACTCGATCAAACTCAAACGCATGCGAGCGCATTGTTGCCGTGCCCATGGCAGATTCTGCATTTGTTGCAAGCTCAATCCTCTTTGACTCCAGATCGTCTGTATAGCGTATAGATGCTTCAGGAACAGGGTGAGAGAATCCCACCTTTCCCGCAGAGATCGGCGGTCGCACTCGAACAAATACGCGAATGTTTCCTCTTAATTCTTGTACTTCATTGTGCAACTTTCTACGGAGAGACTCTGCGTCCCGTAAGCTGGCCTGCAATCTTTCATTCTCCTCTCGGATCATGGACGTGTGTGATAGAACTTCATTTTTCTCCTCTTCCATCTCTTCAATCCTGCTCTTCAATGTATCAATTTGCGCTCTGAGTGCCACGTTCGTGGAGTCCATGGTCAAGTGGGCAGTTGATCGCTGTTCTAATGCTGATTTTAGTGAATTCACTGTCATTCGTTCACGGTCTATTTCATCTTGCAATTCTCGCTTTTCCTTTTGGTGTTTTCGAAGCAAGTCATCCAGCTCATCATCAGCCAGGCTGCGAGAATTTCTTTCTGCCGATAACAATGCAGCTCTACGTTGTTCCATTAGATCTTCTTCCAATTGTCGAACTTTGTCTTCTTGTTGCCTTCTTTCTGTCTGTTCACGAATGAGTATGTCCTCCGTCCTCCTCCTCTCCAGATCAAAAAGACTTTGCATGGATGCCAGCTGAGTCTCGATTGCATCCATTCGTCCATCTCCAACGATACGCTTTACGCCTGAGCCTTGATTGTGAGCTGATACGGATCGCCCAGCTGTGGATCGGGATGGGATTGGCTTTGCACTTCCACCACTTATACGGCGTTTGACAGAAGTTACTGGTGTCTCCCTGCTTTTTGTATTCAATATGGAAGATTGTGCTATTTGATCGCTTGGTGTCCTGCCCTTCTGAGAGGTTCGATTGGTCATTGCATGTAGTGGGGCACGAGGCAGAGTTGGACCACGAGATGGTTTGATGGTTTGTTTATTGATTTCCATTTCGCTTTCTTCTTCAATGAGATGATTACCATCTTCTTCATCCAGCCATTCAGATTGTACGACTCTTTTTGGTGGAGCCAAATGACTTACAGACAGAATGGAGGAGGATGAAGAAGCTCCTCGACGTGTTGTATGAACAGGTATGTTGGAGTGACCATTCATGGTTGGTCGCCTATAGAAAGGGTGATCAGCTGTGAAGTCTCCAATCGGCATGGTGGGTTGCTGGGATAGATAGGGAGAGGTATGGAGGAGAGATTGTGATATCGAAGTTGATTACTACTCTTTCGAAGTGTAATATAATATTATTAGATATGTCAAATAACACAGACCAACACTAGGCACACTATGCGTCTCTCCGCCTGCATACAAATGCACTCTAATGTGCTTTATCAAAACACCCTCTAAAGTGTTCTGGCTGTCTGTCATATTTACGCGTGGAACGAGTAGCGTGTAGGCGTCACCTGCTTCACCACAAAAAGTACAAAAGCACGTGATTGGGTTCGCAGCGGAAACCTTGCCAGGCCCTTCATCAGTGTTCGGAAAAAAGACTGCCCGCATGCGCGCATTGCTGAGCAAAAGACAAATTCGAGAAAAAAATATATAAACCCGAATGCGCGTCCCACAACTTCTTTCTTCTCTTCAGTGATCATCACTGTGAGGAAGCCATTGTTCAAAAACACTGGCTAGCAGAAGGTCGCCAATATGCAAATTTTTGTGAAAACCCTTACGGGTAAAACTATCACCTTAGAGGTTGAATCAAACGATACAATTGACAATGTCAAAGCAAAGATTCAAGACAAAGAAGGTATTCCACCAGACCAACAACGTTTAATCTTTGCTGGTAAGCAATTGGAAGACGGACGTACTTTGGCTGATTACAACATCCAAAAGGAATCCACTTTGCACTTGGTCTTGCGTCTCCGTGGAGGTGCAAAGAAGCGTAAGAAGAAGCAATACACCACACCCAAGAAGATCAAGCACAAGCGTAAGAAGGTTAAGATGGGTGTCTTGCGTTACTACAAGGTTGACGGTGATGGAAAGATTAAGCGTTTGCGTCGTGAATGCCCTGCTCCCCAATGCGGTGCTGGTATCTTCTTGTCTTTGCACGCCAACCGTCAATACTGCGGAAAGTGCCACTTGACCTACTTGTTCGAGCCTGGATCAAAGCCTCAAGCTCCTTAAGCGTCTCTTCAACGCTGAACATTTGACGATCATGTCATCTTGAGTGCTACAGACTCACTCCCTTTGAGAGCATTTCATTGATTTGTTGTACTTGTATACTTTGCAATACGATTTACCATGTTACTCTCAACTTCTACTTGTTTGCCACTGTGTGATTAAAATTGTTTAAACTTCTTTATCTAATTAGGTGATGGTGATATAGTATACAAATGATGTTCTATGCTGCTAAGCATGACATCTAAACCCTCTCTCTGCCCCTTCCCCTTCTACAACTTGTCTCTACAAGTGTGACAACGGATCAACGACCAAGACGCCGTCATGATCGGCGAATGGATAATTCCAACTGCTCAAGAAAGATTTGATAGCAGGTGCCAAACCAACTCTTCTTCGATCAGAATCCTGACTTGTATGTTTGCCCAAACCGACAGCCAAATACGCCAAACCTCTAAATTGTTCATGTTCTAAACCCATCAAAAATTCTTCGATAAGATCGATAGCTTCGCTTGCGTGTAATAAATGACAATCCATCAAAACGTCCATTCTTTCTTCCATCGAAAGGTTTGCAACGTTCACACCTGCAATTCCACGATTTGGAACTACACCAAGACAAATGCCTAATTCCGCTCCCATCGGCTTGCCACGCAATCCTCTCGATCCTCTTTCATCAGTCGAGGCATCAACTAAACCAGTTTGCGTATTTTCATTTGCAAGTCTTGCGCGAATTTCATCATGTCTGCCACGTAACATCGTCCTTGCTAACGATTTACTTTCTTCTTGAATACTTTGATTGATCGTTTGACCTTCATGACTCCATTTTCGTGCTTCGGCTCCATTACCTGCTTTGTACGCTTCTGCTGCTCGTGCTAAACACTTGTTTCGTCTTTCAGTCAATGCCAAACTTTGTTCACGATACGTTGCATACGTTTGTGCTGCTGATCTACCCGTATTCAACGTCGGCAAAAGCAAAGGTGGACGTAAAGGAATTCTACCAGAGCTAATACCACGCTTTGCAGGTGAAGGAGAAGAAGCAGGCGATAAAGAAGCTCTTGGTCCCGTTGGCACGCCACGTAAAGCACCATTCTTTGCATTCAACGAAAGATGCGCTTCACCTTGTTGTACTTGTGCCATTGGTGAATTCCACTTTCTTTGTAATGTATGAGACCATCGTGTTCTACTTGGATCATTGATCGCTGCAGCTGCTGCTTTTGCCCTCTGTGCTTTTGGCGCAGTTGGAGCCAAGTTCAATTCAGGGAAATCTTCTGCAGGTGGTGTATCATCTGGCTCAAAAGTGTTCATATTGGGCGATTGAGATCCAACAAAGCTGCCCTGTCCACGATTCTGTGTAACTGAATCAATCATTGATATATCGTGCAAGAATGAACATTCATCCCCATTCAAACATTGTCCTTTAAGCCAAAAACGACAAAGTGCTCGATTTAAATCATGTGAGAATCGACAATCGGCACGACGACATTCACCAGCCAAGAAGAAACGACAAACTCGTCCCGGCGGTCCAGATCGACTTGTTGAAATTGGCAGAGCAGCCGCATTACCACCAAACGCATTCGAAGGTGTGATAGAGGTGGAGCTGGGAGCGCGTACCAACGATGGACGTCCCTCTCCTGGTCCTGGAGATCCACCCAAACCAGCTCTTTGACTGGCAAAAATCTCTTGAGAAACGATGGACACACCAGATCGTGAAGAAGAAGCGGGACCTGTGGGTATCGTACGATTTGCGGGATCTGTATATCCTTGATTGGAAAGTGTATACGGTCCATTTCCTTCCATGATCATAGACAATGTCGCATCGACATCCCAATGATTTCTCTCTAATGCCTCCTCGATTTGTTCTGATGTCCAATTTGCTGCTCCACTTGCAGATCCGATTCCACTCAAGATTGACGAAAGTACATCGAATGGAGTCATTGTTAAATTATCCATTTCATCTTCCAGACCCGTAAATCGCAACGACTTTGGATCATCAGAAGATTCAAGACTTGCACTGGTAGTTGAGCCATGATAACTTCCGCTAACGCTATCTGCAGTAGTCATGCTCATTGCTGAACTATTGCCTGAAGTTCCACTGAACGGTCGAATCCTGCCAGCCGCCAAACGTGAAGAAGAAGCTGAGGATGAAGAAGAGGAAGGTACAGGTACTGCTCCTGTAGATGGAACGGCGAACGGTGAAAATTCATCTTCATCTGAATCATCCGCTGCGGAGCTAGCAGCTTTCCTGTATGTTTGTGCATCACTTTGATCCGACATCCAGGGCTCCGTAGGCTTCTGTTTGGTAAGCGATGAAGAGAGCCCTGAAGATCTTGGCTTGAATTCAAGCGCAGAGACGTTCAATGACGGAGAACCAAATGTTCCCGGCGCAGGAGATGATGGTCGACTATCGCCAACAGAAAATCCTGAGCGGGCAGAAGAATTCAAATTTGAAGCAGATGGGCCGGTTGGCGTTGTGATCAAAGTTGAGGAGACCGTTCTATGCCATGGCTTAGGAGACACACGAGGACTGATAGACAGATTTGAAGTGACACCAAGCGTGAGTGAACCGGGCACAGGGCTCGGAGGCAATGAACCTAGAAAATCATTGTTTGTCAATTGACTAGCATTGGTTGGTGTGACTGGTCTGGTTGGCGTCCATGGCCGAGTGAGATTCGTACTTGAGCCTGATCGAAGATTTGCAGGACGAGGTCTGGATCTTGGTGAAGCAGGGAATGGAGAAGGTCCAGGAGAAGTAGCCATTGGAAACGTTGCACCCGTGGGCTTTACATCTTCTCGATGCCTGTGCAGCAAAGACAAGACGATATTGTCTAAGCGTGCGGCTGGTACCTCATTTCCTTCTACTTCTTTCAATTTCTCAGCCAACAAGTTCCTTACTTGTTCGATCCTATCTTCGTCGTCCAACTCTTCGTTATCCAAGATAGCCAGGATTGCTTGTGCAGCCTGTGCAGCTTGCAATGCACTGCCTCCATCTGAAAGTCTACGAGCAGCTTGTTGTAATGTAGAAATGCGTAAATGTCGAGATGGATCATCGTAATCATCCTCGATTGAACTGACAGAGAGTGCTTTGTTTGGCGTACGTGGAGGTTCTGATAACGTTTTGGTACTGGATGTATCGTCCATAGATAAAACACTTTCACCTTTTTCTTCGTCACTTTTATCGTTTTCTTCTTCTTGAATGATTTCACCTTCTCTTTCATTGTAATCTCCTATCGAAGGAGCTTTTGGAGCCAAAGTACTACTTCGTGCCGGTTTATACATCTCCATTGAGCCAGAATTGCTCTTGATGCTCATACTTCGGTTCATTCCGCCTGGTCTTGAACCGATTGCACCGGAAGACGGTGGAGGATGAAGAAGGCTTTCAAGATAAGCCTTTGAATGAGTACGCTGTAACATCTTTAGCCTTTATTGTAGCATGGATGCAAAAGATGGGAAAAGGAGAGGTTATTATCGAATGAAGTTATTTTCGGCCTGTTGAAGCGCAAAAAGATGCAAAGGATGGGGCGTTGAAGTAGGGATGGAATATGACGTATTCCGATTGCGGAAATCACTGCCTCTTTCTTCGTTAAGACGATAGGCTGAACACGATCAGAGTTACGCCACTGCCCCCTTTTATTGCCATAAAGATTTGAAATTTGAATGAGAGATATTGGCCGCTATATGAAGCGCGAATTTGAATTAAAGTGGCGATTTATCATGACCGGGACGCGAGTTTGAAGGGGGCGTTGTGAATTGGTGCTAAACGCCGATCTTGTGACCTTGAATTTAGGATAATGATGGTGGCCGAGATTGGTTGGCGGTATATAATGTAAATGATTCTGTCAGTGTTGGTTCTTTATTTTTTGTTGTCTCAGGCAAACAAACGGCATCCAAAAAAGGTAGACTGACAAATTGCCTTTTAAACGGATTAAAAATGCTGTGCGTGCGTGCGTACGTACGACATTTGTCGCACATGCAGCATTAAACGCGGAATACAAATGACACAATTTCACTCCTGAGTATTGTAAAGCGGAGAAAGAGTCTGTGCTGTACACACACACTTCCACGTGTGACGCGTTAGGGCGTTAAGAAGTATATGTTGGCTGGAGGAAGGTCAATGCGATCAATAGGAATAACAGTATCCTTCTAGCCATCATCTCCATACCGATACAAACACTTATATATAATAATCAAACATGGCTCCCGCAGCGCAGGCCGTCAGCGAGGCACCTCGACCAATCGAAACTTTGCACGAAGATATGATTCATGATGCACAATTGGATTATTACGGAAAACGATTAGCAACATGTTCGAGCGATAGAACAGTAAAGGTCTTTGATGTCATCGAAGGTGGTGCTTCAGGTCAAGGTGTAACACTTAGCGGTCATGAAGGACCCGTTTGGCAAGTCGCTTGGGCTCATCCTAAATTTGGTCCAATTCTAGCTTCAGCTTCGTATGATGGAAAGGTGATCATCTGGAAAGATAATGGTTCACAAAGTACACAACAAACTTCCACTTACGGCTATGGTGCACCTCCTGCCGCTATCGGTGGATGGACAAAGATTAAAGAACACAGTATGCATACTGCCAGTGTCAATTCGATCGCTTGGGCTCCTCACGAATTCGGATCAATCTTGGCTTGTGCTTCAAGTGATGGTAATATCTCCGTTTTGACATTCAACGATGATGGAACATGGGCAGTAGACATGGTTGCCGCTCATCCGATCGGCTGCAATGCCGTTTCGTGGGCACCTGCAACTGCACCCGGTGCTCTACTTGCCTCTCAAGCTCCTGGTCCTGATGGTCAACCTGTGAAAGTACAAAGATTTGCAAGTGCAGGATGCGATAATGTGATCAAGATTTGGCAATTCAACAAAGAACAAAGTAGATGGGAAGTGATTGATACATTACAAGGACATACAGATTGGATTAGAGATGTCACATATTCTCCCAATATCGGCCTACCGCGTTCGTATTTAGCTTCCGCTTCGCAAGATCGTACTGTCATCGTTTGGACAAAAGACGGAGATAGTTCATGGACAAAGACTGTTCTCACTCCAACCGGAAGCTTGGCTGCAGGAGCTGTCTTGGACGATTCAAATAAATTCAAGGATACTGTTTGGCGAGTAAGTTTCAGTCTTAGTGGAAACGTTTTGGCTGTCAGTTGTGGAGATGGTCAAGTATACCTATTCAAAGAAGGCATCAAAGGTGGCTGGGAATGTGTATCAGAGTTGAACGCTTAAAGTGATAGCCTGTGACACTTTTTTTGAAAATGAATATGTATTGTTACAAGTATGTTAGCATGATTGAGATATAAATTACAGTTGAATTGCAGTGAAAGCAGCAATCAATCTTCTCTTCGACGTTTTTCGTTTCGCACAATACGCGATTGTGCAGCAGGATGTCGATCCAATTCACGAGGAACGGTAGAAACAGGACTTCTACTCAATTCCTGTTTAAGATCGTAAAAGAATTGTTCATCACTTGGTTCCAAAAAGGTGAATGCAATACCCTTCTTTCCAGCACGACCAGTACGACCAATACGATGAATATAAGCCTCAAATGATGTTGGGAAGCTATAGTTGATCACCGCACTGACATTTGGAACATCAATACCACGACCTGCTAAATCGGTAGCAACCAAAATATCACTTTGACCGGAACGCAGATTAGCCAAAGCTTCTTCTCTTTGCGTTTGCGTCTTTTTGGAATGTAAAGTTGTCACATTGAAACCTTGTTTGCGTAAATCATGCGCCAATGCATCGACAGATTGAATTGTAGTAGAAAATACGATCATCGGCGGTTCATAGTGGGTAGACAACAATTGGAATAATCTTTGACGTTTCTTATCATCTCCTGAAATAAGCTCAACCCTTTGTTCAACCGTTCCAACTGCTTGATTAGCATCACCAATCGTAATCGTTGCCGGTCTACGTAAATAATTCTTGGCTAATCGTTCAACGCTTGATGGCATAGTTGCAGAGTACAACATCGTAACACGATAACGAGCATCTGTCTTTCCTTCCAGCAAGGCCAACGGATCTTCCGATTCTTCAGTGTCTGGTTTCATATTCGAAGCAGGCATAGAATCGAGAATAAAGTCCAATTCGTCAGCAAAGCCCATTCCGATCGATTTGTCAGCTTCGTCTAAGACCAAGTACAAACATTGACTCAAAACGAGAATATGTCTTTCAATGCAATCTTTCAATCGTCCAGGCGTTGCAACGATGATCTCTGCACCATTTCGCAGACTGAAAGCTTGTTCGTTCATATCTCTTCCACCCACGATCGAAACACAATTGTATCCCAATTGATCGGTAAATTTCTTCGTTTCAACCTCAATCTGTTGAGCCAGTTCACGTGTGGGAGAGATAATCAAAGCATATGGTCCTAATTGACGATTGGCATCGGAAAGTCGAGGAAGCTTTGAGATATAGGCCAGCATTGGTATAACAAAGGAGGCAGTTTTACCGGAACCAGTTTCAGCAATACCGATCAGATCTCGATTTTGTAGACCAATTGGGATCGCTTGACGTTGAATAGGTGAAGGCTCTTTATATCCAATCTTTTCAATCGCACTAAGCACGTCTGGAGGAATATCAGACTCTTTCCAGGATCGTAATGGTTTGGGTATATGGCCACCACGAGATGCGATACCGAAATCTTCTCGAAAGATTCTCCAATCTCGTTCACGCATCTCATCCAATGACTTTTCCGTCCAAGGCTTTTCTGCAAAGGCTGATTTTGCACCTCTCCTCATCGGATCACCTGATTTGATCAATCCATTTTGACCATTTGATGATCCGTTGTGATGTTGGGTCGTATCCATACCGCCCCTACCTCCAGCTCCGAATACGCGAGCTTCAACACTTGCGGCTGGATTGAGCTTATCACTCGTATCATCTGTCGCATCCCAATCAAAAGCTAATTTCTTTCTCTCAGTTCTGCTCCTCTTCTTTGTCGGTCCAGCTATTCCAAGGTATTTGTTTCGTATTATTGCCCTTTCTTCTTCCGTCATTGATGCATCATCAATACCTTTTTCGGCAATCGCACCGCGTGAGCCGGATGAATGCTCTTGATCATCATAAGGTAATTCTCTTATCCCTGTCTGTGAAGCATATCTCCTATCTCGTCCATCTCCGTTCGCATACCGATCCGAATGATATGAGGAAGGACCATTTCGTGTACCATTTTGATCATTGCGTTGGCGTGCTTGCTTTTCAAAAGCCTCTCGATCCCGTCTATCCTTTTCTTCTTTCTCTTTTTGTTGCTTTATCTCCGATTCTCTTCTTTCTAATGCTTGCTTTTGTCTTTCTGCTTTACTTAGAAATTTAGGTTTGAGCGCAGATGAATCACTTTGCTTTTTTAGAAGAGAATCCAGATCTTGTGGTATTGATCTAGAAGATGACATAGTGCTCAGACAGTCATCTATGATGGTCAATAGGAAAAGCATCTGTAACAATGATTATATATCCGTTGTGAACAGTTATAAAACATTAAAACGTGCTGACTAATCAACGCGTTTATTCTTATGGTCGAGCCAATTTTGAATATTCTATTGTTGTCTCGACCGCGCGGCCTAGAGTGTTAATGTACTCCACGATTTGCAATTGTTCTGGTGATCTTTTGTACATCATCACCAAATACAGCAATCGCCAACAATGGTAAGTTGATGAGAGAAAGCTATCCATCTCACACAGCTACTAATATCATTCCCTCCCCACAGTCAAACGCAGATTCAGGACCATCTCTTCGCCTTGTGCCTGGACCGGCCAGCTCAAACAGTATCTCGATTCAATCTACATCACATCCCGTTCATGCTGGTGTACATGATTCTATGCGACATGGTCAACGTAATCTTGCTACAGAAGTTTCTTCTTCTTCCATTCAACACCCCTTGCAACACAGATTAGAAAGTTGGGATGCAACCCGCGATAATCTCAAATTGACCATGCAACGTAATATGTTTGGAATGGCTGCACCTATTCGCACATTGATGGAAAGAAGGATTGTGGAACATGTGAGTGGGAATGCGTGAGACGAGAGAATTGGAAACGTGCTGACAATGTCTATCTACTTTTTTAGAACCCTCACTTCCCGGCACTACAGGCAGGACAAATGGGCGGCGGTCCAAGAAAGGGACTTTCAGCATTGCACAGAGATATCCTAAACGGAGATGACGAAACGATTGATCCGGTAGACTTCTTGCCTTGTGAGTTTCAACTAATCGATTAATGGTATTATATTTCGATATACTGACTCCATCTTCTGCTCTCTCAGCCGCTGGAGGACCAGAAATGCTCGACATTCACGCACAAATGGAGCGCAAACACAACATCTGAATACATGTATAATTGGTATCGAATTAAATGTGATTACACTGCAAAACAGATTGACTATTCTCCATCTTCCGCCTCTTCTTCTGAGTCGTATAAACTGACTTGATTTGGGACTGCAGAGAGAGAATGCTGTTAGAGGCAATTCCACAATCATCTCTTCACTCCTTTCAACTTACACCAGCCATATTGTTGTATATTGACTCTAAACCTCAAAGGAGCGCCTGATTCAGACACATTGACTCCTTCTACAGGTATGAAACTGTGAGATCAGTGATCTGACCCATTCTAAGTATCTCTTCTTTGCTTACCTTCCCGCAAGCGTTCTGCTTGACGTGCTGCTCCCTCTCCGCCATCACCTCGATCGGAGATTGTGCCGCCTGCTCCGATTACCCTTTGCCATGGAACATCTGGTGCTTGTAGAAACTTGAGTGCTTGTCCTACTAGGCGAGAGTCTGAAAAGGTATGGTAGATGATAAATGAATAATTAGGGGATAAGAGTCAGACAGAACGATTGAACTTACGGGCAGGTGATCCGGCTAGACGAGCAATATGGCCTGTTGCATAGATGAATGTATACAGTGAGCTTTCTCGTCAGTAGCAATTATTCAAGTCCACCTGTTCTTACCGTAGGTTGTCACCATGCCATGTGGCTTTTAAAAGCGTAGGGTATGATTAGCTATTGTCTGTAATCATATTCGTGCTCATATTCACTCACGATCATTCGTACAATCTCATATACAGTCGCTATAACAGAGTTTCCCAGGTCAATCATCAAGCTTGGCAATATGGGGATTTATAGCACTCACCATGAAAGACATCCGAATCGACTTGCGGCATGTTTTACTTATTCAATGATTGTTCATTGCCCAACTCTGGCTTGCACCACCATCAACACAAGTTGCAAAGTGACGTAAAGGTTGTGTTGGACGTCTAAGTGGCTGCAGTTTATCATTATCCCAGGAACAGTAACTAAAAAGGTTCCCGTCTTATACGCGTGTAAATTGTCAACCACTAAGAGAACGCGTGTAGAGTGTTGATGTGTTACTTGCATTAATAAAATAACACGCGCTGCGTAAAAGTTGACTCAATCTTTCTAAACAACACTACCATATCCTATTAGGTATTTCATCATGCCAAAGGTCACATCAACAAGTCGAAGTAGGGCATTAGGAAGGGATAAAGAGAATGAAGCTCCAACGATGTCACACTATTCCAGAAAGCAAAAGGGTGAGAAGGACGAAGATGACGAAGAGGCGATGCGAAACTTACCGTTAAAGTCATTAAAACATTCCGGTTCATCTTCCTCTCGGGTTCATCATTCGAGCAGCGGATTACATGCGAAAGAACGTAATGGAAGTTCATCCAGTAATAGTAGAGATACAGAAATGCAAAAGACCAGTAAAGATTCACGCTATCATAATGGCGGTGAGGGAAGCAAGGGAAAACGATCATACGATCAGGCTGAAGAGAGAAAAGAACACCATGATGTACCGGAAGATAATGGTGATCTTCAGGCTCAACTTGATCAGTTACGCTCTCTACGGATAACGGAACCTGAACGTCTTTTGGGAGAATGGCGAAAGATGGCAGATCAAAAGAGTAAAAAGTCAGAAGAATACATTGCAGTCTTGAAGAAGCATGTGGAAGCATTATCAAGTTCGCAAGGGAAAAGCGTGCCAACGATTCCCTCTGCAAATCAAAGAGAAGATGAGAATGTCACCACTCTACAGAAGGAGATGGAAGAAATGCGAAAGAGGGAAAAGGCACTCAAAGAAGAAAATGCAAGACAGGCACGTCAACTTGAAAGTTTGCGAATGCAAACAGGTACTTCCACTTCTTCTACTGCTTATCGTCTGGGGACTGGTTCTTCACAATTGGGTATGGGCGATGAACGTGCAGTGAGAAGGCTATACGAAGATTTGACGGGGTTGATGATCAACAAAGTTGAACAAGTTGAAGGTCAAGAGGAATTTCGACGATTTCATGCAATCTTTGCTTGTGCAGGTTATCATGATCTTGAAATCAAATTGGAAGAATCAACTTCAGATTTACCTTCGATCGTGCCTGGAACAACGAGCGGACCGCGAGAAGATCTGATTTATACACCCACTTTGGATCAAGACAGAGATGCTGAATTACTCCAAAGTGGTCGATTACCCGAATTCTTGAAAGATTCAATTCGATTCGAACGTGCCACTTCGGTCAAATTTATGACAACATTACACAAACGTCTAGATCGTCACAGTAAAAGGTAATCATACTAAAGAAAAGCCAAAAATAAAATAAATGATGTACTATACAAATGATGGTGACAATAATAATGTACAATAAGGATCTTTCAATGAATGGTCCCTTCAGCTCCTTCAGTAACCGTACGTTGTCTTTGTCGTGTACTTTCAGGATGATTGAACAATTTGATAGCCAAGAACTTCTGTGGAGTCTTTCCATGCGTTGGCAAGCCGTACATACGATCGAACAAGCTTTGCACCCATGCTTTACTTGAACTTTGACAAGCCAACATTGTCATACTTTGACTATGAGCTCCATTTCCGTCCAATTCACGTAAATGTCGCATGATGATCGAAGGTTGAGGAGGACCATATTTGAATGCTGCAGCATATTGTGAATGCCAACGAACATCCAACAATTTTGCACATTGTTGTGGATCAGGACAAGCTGAATGACATTCATAATCTCTTGCTGGGTTGGCTAAACCTAATTTCAATAGTCTTTCCAAAAACCATGTTCGTTTTCTTTCCAATTTCAATAAAGTTTCTTGACTTAAAACATCCAATTCTTCTTGAGCCCAAGAAGGCATATTATCCAAAACATGTCTACTTGCTTCTCGATATACATCTTCGATTCCATGTCTTTCACTCAATGCCATCGCATCGATCGGCCTTCCTGCCAAAGATGCTCGTAAGAAAGTTGTGCAGGCTCTACGTAAGAATGGCACTTCGAATTTATCGGAGAAAGCAAAAAGTGGAAAGATGTTTATCCACGTCACAATGAGATCCAAATTCGGATACACATGACACAAAAAATCTTGAAATGTTGCAGCATCCTCTTCGGTCAGATCAATCACAGCGACAAGATTTTGATCTCTCTTTTGAAGGCGTTGAGATCTGGTGGCGTCGTTTCTTCGTTCAGCCTCTTTGATAGTATCGCTACCTGGCTCGGTATTTGTTTGCTTTTCAGCTTTATCTGCCTCTACTGGAGAATTGTCTCTTTCCAGATGGTCCTGCAATGGAGGTGTGGCCATCCTTTGAAGTCTTCCGCCGAGTTCATCTCCATCGATTGTATGATTGGTAAAATCATCATTATCATCGTCGACTGTGGCTGAAGCAGAGTACCCCATCATCGGCTCATTACGAGAAATGCTCCTTGGCGGTGTTTGTTGATCTTGTACTGCGCCTAAAGAGCCTGCTCGAAGTGATTCATCCGTGCTATCGTACACCTTTACAGATGAATCTTGCGACATTGTCGCTTCCGCATTGTCCACCGCAGAGTCCAATGTGAAGAATGCTGTATGGAAAGAGGTGCGAGGTGATGTTGGCAAATGAAGAGAAGCAAGTTGTTCATTAATCGTTTCGGAAGTTGACGTCTGTTCTTCATCTTCGCTTCTCGTTAAAGCACTGTCCACAGATGATTCCGAAGAGGATATTGTGTGCAAAGAGGGGTGCGTCTCTTTCCAGTCCCCATCTAGAATTGCTCGAAAGAAAGGCGAAGCAAAGTAGAGAACTGCCTTGTGAACGTAAAAGTCACAATCCGAACAACGAATCAAAACATCGCCGCGCAAATTAGAATCAATACGAAATTGAGGTAAAATTTCAAACTTTGATCCAATTCCACTGTTTCGCTTGCTCTGATATGTTGATCCGCCAATCTTGCCATCACTTCGAGTGGATGAATGAGCCGCTCGTAAATTTGATCCTCTCCCTGTTTGGGGTAAGTAAGCGGCAAATCGACTGGTGGAAGGTGATGGATCGGTGCTCAACGCTTGAGTTGCCGAAGTCTGTCCTGTTCCATGCAATAGAGGCCTGGGGATTGTGCGGGTTCTTGCATGATTGGTGTGATTGGTATTTGAGGGATTGAACGAAGAGTGCAACGAGTTCGAGCTGTCGTTATGAACGATTACATGAACCATTGATTGCATGGAGGATGTTCCAGCTTCTGTGATCTGAAGACCGGTAGTGATATTTCGATTACCTTCGATTTGATCCATTCTCCTATTCTCAAAGATGGTTGAAGTACTTTGTGGGGTAGAAGAAGTTGTTAATCTTGGTGCAAGAGGTGTTGTAGACCTAGTTGAAGCCAATAAGGCACTTGGTGGAGTATTGACATTATTTGTCGTCATGATGATAGCATATCAACCATACATTGCTTGAAGTGGTGACCCTTTGCATTATTCATGCACAACAAAGAGGCAGAAGAGGTGATGGAATGAATGAGGGAGAGGGAGTTTATATGCTAGCGCGTGCACTACGCCTACTGATAAGAGAGACCCTTTAAATGCTTCAGCCTAGTATAACAAATACGGAAAAGGCTCGTGAGCATGAGAGAACGACAGTGGACACTTCTCATAAGGAATCACCTGGCATATGAACTTACAAGAATAAGCAAGCCAGCTATATTATGGCGTATACAACTTCATTCTTGGCATTGTTTAATTTGAAAGTAAGTTTCTTTCCAGAAATTTTATCAAATCATTTCCACTTCCCGAACCTCTCTCGTAAAAAAGGGGCTCAGGGTCTCAAAGAAGCGGTTGAAGCGTACTTATGGCCTTTCTTAGCATTATCCGTCCATTTTGCAAATCCATCTTCCCAGAGGTTCTCAGTGTTAAGATACGATATGAATGGAGGTTAAAGTGCTATATGAAGATGGTCAACTTCGACTTGAAGCAAGCTAGAGGCTTCTGAAGGCTTAATGGACCCTGTTTCAAGATGTGTAATACTTTTTTGATTACATACCCCATCTGTTTGTAACCCTCATCACGCAATACTTATTGACGTTTGCGTTATCCCCGGATATGCATGTAAAGTATGATTCATGCAAAGGCTAAATAAAATCAACTTTAAACGCGACAAAAAAAGGAACGGAGCCGCGGTATGATTTCCATTTGCCTCAGACTGCCCTTATATGCGAGCTTAATTTTCTTGTTTGGCAGCTTGCAGCATTAATTTCATCATTCCGGATTTAAACTCAATTTCTCTCCTCATCACCATTCCACACCTTTTACCCGGCGGTGCACTTAGGTCCGATAGACATATAAATAGACAAAGCTTTCGTCTTGCTTTCACTCTCTTTTACGCAAACAGCAATCAATTCAAGACTCACAACTATAGACAATCATGTCGCCCGCACCAATCGCATCAACGTCAGTCACTCCAACACCTGGCAAAGCTCATGCAGGTCATAATCAACATGGCTTCGCAACAAAGGCTATTCATATTGGTTCAGAGCCATCAGCTGAAACAGGTGCTGTAATCCCAGCAATCAGCTTGAGTACAACGTTCAAACAAAAATCCGTCGGTGATTTCACATATGAATACTCAAGATCTGCAAATCCCAATCGTGATGCATTGGAACGTGCACTTGCAGCATTAGAAGGAGGTCGTTATGGATTAGCATTCGCTTCTGGAAGTTCAGTAACGGCAACAATCGTTAGTGCGTTACCACCCAAATCCCATATCGTCAGCGTGAATGATGTTTATGGTGGCACTTATCGTTATTTTACCAAAGTGGCAACCGTTGCTCAAGGCATTGAGACAACCTTCGCAGAACTTGCAAGTGCAGATTCAGAACTCGTCGAACAAAACTTACGTAAAGCAATGCGTCCTGATACCAAGTTGGTTTGGATCGAATCTCCTACTAATCCAACTTTGCGTTTGATTGATATTCCATTGGTTGTCAAAGTTGCCAAATCTATCAACCCTGAAACGACTGTCGTTGTCGATTCAACATTCTTGTCGCCTTGGTATCAAAACCCACTCTCTTTAGGCGCTGACATCGTAGCACATTCGATCACAAAGTACATCAACGGTCATTCAGACGTTGTGATGGGCGCTTTGGTTACAAACAATTCAGCATGGGTTGAAAAGTTGAAATTCTTGCAAAACAGTATCGGTGGTGTACCTTCTGCATTTGATTCTTGGTTGGCTTTACGTGGAATCAAGACATTGGCTGTGCGAATGCAAGAACATGGTTCATCTGCTTTAATCATTGCTAAAGAATTGGCAAAACATCCTGCTGTGAAAGAGGTGATTTACCCTGGTTTACCTTCTCATCCTTCTTTCCAACTTGCTCAACGTCAAATCTCACCAAGAGCATTCCAAAAAGCAATCGCACGCGGTAAAGCAAAAGGTGACGGAGTAGAAGCAGATGGTTTCCCATACGGAGGAATGGTAACAATCCGCTTAGCTTCTGATCCACATGATGATCAACCGGCAAACAAAGTTTTGGAACGTTTGCAAATCTTTACACTTGCTGAAAGTTTAGGTGGTGTTGAAAGTTTGGTTGAACAACCAAGCAAGATGACACATGCTGCCGTCTCACAAGAAGATCGTGATATTTTGGGTATCGGTCATAATCTCATCCGTATCTCTGTCGGATTGGAAGATGTGGAAGATTTATTGGCCGATCTCGATCAAGCTTTCCGCGCCGCCGGTTTGGCTTAGAGAAGAGAAAAGAGGGAGGAGTGAATTTCGATGCTTAATCTTGTATATTATACATACATACATATCCCATAAATCTAATGTAGATGCGATTGTAAACACGCTTGCGAGAGATTGATATAGCTTACAGTTCAACTTGAATGAACGTCGTTCCACAACCAGCCCATACATTGACTGGCCTGGCATATCGAAAGGTTGGATGATCTACCAAATTTTCTGATTCGGGTGGCCAAAGCTGGATCGGCGTATGTCGATCATCTTCGTCATTCGTTGCTAGGTTTCCATGTTCGTTCCACCCCCATCCTATCACGCGAGCCTGTGGAGGAGAAGTATGGGAGACCAACAGAAGTGCTACATGTTCACTCCCACATGCAAGCTGCACAGATTGCAGCGCAAATCTATCATGATCTGCATCGTCGATCAACAGTCTATGTATCGGACCCGATTCAGTCTCATGCAACGGCTTAGCATTGCCTGTACCGAGCTGTCCCTTTGTATTGTTTCCACAACATCTAAGTTCAATTTGATTTATACTTGTCTTGTCAGACAACACGAGAAATGTTCCATTCCACGTCGCACCGAGTATATCTGTCCTGTCCCATTGCACTTTCTCGATCGATGGAAGGGCATTCAACGCACATTGTTGATTCCGATTTGATCCAAAGCTGAAAAGGCCATGCTCTTCTTCGACTTGATCAAATCCACACGAATCAATGCTTGAATTTATTTCCCATAAATGCGGGATCAAAATCACAGAATGTTCTTTACCTGCTGCCAAATGAGCCAAACCTCTTCCTTTCACACTTCCATCCCTCTTACTTCGCCATCCTTTGATCACTCTTGGTAGGCAAGCCAAGGCAACTTTACTTCGACTTGAGATGGAAGTGTTGGTAGTCTGCACTTTTCCAACTTGTCCATGTCGAGAAGCTCCCCAGCCGAGAAGCCAATGTTGATTCTGTACCGAGTCCATTTCGCTTCTTGCAGAACAGGCTACGATCGTATGACGCAGACCGCATGCGATAGATCCGATCTGTATTCTTGTTGCTCCACTCTGTTCTTTTGGAACGCACAAAGACCGTAGATCAATGATTTGTGAACAAGTCTTTGCATCTTTGCTTCGCGGATAGCCTAATTGTAGAAAATCATTGTTGATCCCAAGCACCAACAGCAGATCATCTTGCTTGCTTTCGATGTCTTCCAGAACAATCAGCGTCCAGTCCCAGCCACATTCCACCGATTTAGGTGACCATGCGCTGCTGTCGGTTGAATGATGGCTGTTCTCCAAAACATCTTCAATATTCAACCTCGTAAACGTAAGCAATGGCATCTTGTCGTCCTCTTTTTCCTCATACCATCTCCAATGTGCCGGACCTAATTGACCGTCTGCGCCACTTCCACACACCCAAACCTGCCTGCCTTTCTCCTCATCCTCTAAGATTGCTACCGAATGAGCTGCTCCACTAGAAAGTTGAACGATTCGTGATCCGATAGCAGGAAAAGAGTGATAAGATTGTTCGTTGTCTATCGTACACCTTTGCCAGATATGGCTATCGTCAAGGTGTCCTAGACCCAATTGACCGGCAGAATTGGATCCTGCTGCAAATAAGACATGACTTTTACCTGTCATATGGTCTACATGGTTGTCGAGAAGAGAAGTGTTTTATTCACGTCATTGACTGGAGTAGCGCCGTATTTTTAACTTTAATGCATAAGCGTGCGTGCGAATGTGTTGCTCTCCACCCAAGAAGAAACGAAAGAGAAAGGAAGCATATATGCACACTTTTTCACCACCATCATCGCTCAGCATGGATTTCAACGATGGAGTGGATGCATTGGAGGAAGAAATTCGAAATATAGATGCTGAGATCAAGCAGCTACAGAAATTGAAAGCTTCTCTAGTGAAAAAGAGGAATGCTCTCCAAGTGAATGGTAGTAGTCAAGGTCCATTCGCATCAACCTCAGCGGCTGTGCAAACGACGGATTATTTTACCGAACGTTTCGAATGGAGTGGAGAATTATTGCCAAGAGCAAGAGAAGTTTGGGGTATTCAAAACTTCCGGTCTGTTCAAGAGGCCGTTTGCAATGCTGCTATTGCCGGAAGAGACATTGTATGCGTCATGCCTACTGGCGGTGGTAAAAGCCTGTGCTATCAATTACCAGCTCTGATCAGCGTTGGAGTGACCGTTGTGGTCTCTCCATTGATCTCATTGTGTATCGATCAGCTATGGCATTTACGTGAGGCAGGCGTTTCTTGTGAGATGATGTCGAGCACCGAAAACAAATACGAAATGACCGAAATCATAAAGCGCCTCAAGGCAGGCGCAGATGAAATGAAAGTCTTGTTTGTGACACCTGAGCGAGTCGCACTGTCAAAAACACTTCGAACTGCGTTACAAAAATGTTACGAGAAAGGCAGACTTGCTCGTATCGTGATTGACGAAGCACATTGTTGCAGTCAGCAGGGTCACGATTTCCGACCGGACTACAAGAAATTGGCAATCCTACGCAATATGTACCCAGACGTTCCGATCATGTGTCTTTCGGCAACGTTGACAGAACGTGTTCTGAACGATATACGAGAAATTCTCGGACTTCCTCCAGTGGTGGATCCTTCGAAAGCACCCAAGAAAGGAACTCTCTACTTCACTGCACCACTATATCGCCCTAACCTGCATTATTCCGTCTTGCCTCGTCCAAGTGCAGCGGCACAGGCAAATCAAATGATTGTCGACTGGATCACCGAACGCCATCCTGGCGAATCGGGCATTGTGTATACGCTGAGCAGATCAGAAACACAACGGATGGCAGATGCATTACAAGAGTGCAGTGAGGGAAAGATTCGAGCTTCCGTTTATCATTCTGATCTTGTAGATGCACAAAAGAAGCAAATTCATCATCAATGGCGTGAAGGTGTCATTCATGTCGTCGTTGCCACGACAGCATTTGGTATGGGTATCGATAAAGGCAACGTGAGATTTGTGATTCACGCAAATATGGGCAAATCTCTCGATTCGTACTACCAAGAATCGGGAAGAGCAGGTCGAGATGGGGCAGATGCAGATTGTGTCCTTTTCTATCGTCCTTCCGATGCAGCACGTCTTGCTGGCCTTGCAGCTACTGATCATGATGGTGATCTAAAGCTCAGACCGATGCTCGAATATGTTCACAGCGTCGCTTGTCGAAAGATCATTCTTGGGAACTACTACAAAGGTCAATATGGCGATGATGCAGCTTGTGAGAAATGTGATAATTGCTTGAACAAGCCAGCGGAGAAAGACGTCACGCAAGAATCCTGGAAGCTCTTGAAAGTTCTTCAGGATGCATATGAGAGCGGTGCGAGGATTACAATGGCAGGTCTGTGCGATCTTGCAAGAGGTTTGGGAAATGGAGAATTCACTACCGCTAGCAGAGGCGGCAAACGAAAGGCTGGTGGAGTTGCAAGTTTGGACGTGAAAGGTTTAATCGGAGAAAAGGTACTTTTAAGTAAAGATGACGCCGAACAAGTGTGTGTTCAACTTTACTTGTCCGATTATATCGCATTCGAATTCACTCAGAATGCTTATTCGATCAATTCGTACGTTAAACCAGGCCCGCTGATCCGCCGAGTTACCAGACAGGCACAGAGTGAATGCCCAACAATCATGGCCACCATTCCTGCAACAGCCACCAACAAAAGACGGAAGACAAAGGCGACACCGTCGAAGCGAGCAGGACCATCCAGTCAGGCTGGGCCATCAAATGGAGCAGGCTCAGCGATTCAAGTTAAAAAACCGAATCTTTCGAGTGATCCTATTGAAGTGGAAGATAGCGATTTAGAGATCTAGAGTAGAGTAGTTGTGTAGAGTAAACCTAATATTGTACAGTAGCATTAGCATTTTTGTAAATTAGCATACGATATCATAATAGAAATACACATAGGAAGATTTGGACTAATACCTATGACGTTGACCAGTCAATTCGCCAGAATAAAAGCAAATGCATTGAACGTCTAACCAATTCCTTAGGATTTCTTTCGATCGTAAACCTTGAACGCCTGCTTTTTTGGCTAAAGCGCTTACTTCTTCAAAAGGAACAGGTTCAAAAAGTAAAATTCGCCTGTAAAGATTTTCGTCTGACATGAGTGCATCGTGTAATTGTTGTGAAATTACCGCAGGCACGTTTGCCTCAAATGCGCCGTTTCCTTTAGGTATGTTTCCCAAAGCGGCTGCTTTTTTTGTCGTTGCTTGCCTGGCTAATGGTTCATCATCACTTTCCTCTTCCTCATCATCATCATTGTCTTCCCCACTTTCATCACGATCGGATGAGAACAAAGATGATGTATCTCCCACTTGAGTGTCTTTTACTGCCTTTGCTTGTCGTATTGCTCGATAGACACTTTGTAGTTGTTCAATCATCACTTTTCGACTTTTTGAAAGCCTTAGGCCGTATTTGTTTATTTGTTCTCGCAGCTCGTCTATGCTCATGTTGGCCATTCGCGCTTCGGCGTTTTGATCTCCTTCATCTTCGGTGTGATTCAATACTACTGGTGCTATACTCTCGTCATCTTCCGAATGATCCGATCTTACTTGTGCTCTGTTCCTTTGTAGAGACGCACTTTTTCGATCTTTGTTGTGATGAGCATTTGTTCCTCCTTCTCTGCTTCTGGACGGACCTGCTATCGATGGTTTTGACGTACCATTTTGATCTGTACCCAGCCTATCTAGTTCATCTAATAGTCCCATGATGTTTTTGTGATCGTGATGGGTGTGAATAACAAAAGTGTTGATTTAATCTTCTGCAGAACAACAACAACACTTTACGCGCTCTGTCACGCGCTACGCCCTAGGCAACTCAAAGAAGGTACATCGATTGATTGATTACATACACATGGTAATACATACATACATCACTTTCTCTTTGATCTAGGTGCTTGTCCGTTCTTAATCTTAAATGCCATCTTACGTTTACGGTTAGACTTGTATCTTTTACGTAAAACAGCTTCTCTTGCTTCATCTTCTGCAATCTTTTCTGCATCAAGTTTGGCTTTTTGTGCAAAGATTTCGGGTGTTCTTTCTCCTGCTTCGATACGTTTTGCTAATTCGGTACGTAAAGTCCATTTTTCATCCAACGCTCTTCGTTTATCACGATTTGCTTTACGTTGTTCAGCTCTCTTTTGATTACGTGCCAATCTTCCTGCACCACTGTAAGATGTCGGTCGAGAAGACATATCAACAAATGTGATCGGTGATCGTGTTGAGCTTTTATCTTTTTGTCCTTTGATATGAACGCTTTCCAATACAGGTCCTTTGCTTGCAGGTCCTCCTGTTGGCATCTTGCGAATCCGTTCACGTCTTTCTTTTGATTCTTGACGTAAAGCAGGCACAAGTTCAGATGGTTTGTTTGCATCTGATTCTCCCAGTCCGATTTCCTCAAAGATTGCACCTCCCATAGTGCCGGCGGGTATTGTACTCAAAGCGTCCAATTCTTTTTGAACGCCTGCCGAACGAGAGCTCTGCGATCCTAGCAACTTCTCCATCTCTTTCTGAAATGGTGTCTGTAAAGCTTTACCCTGAGATTGAAAGAAAGATAGTAGTACGTTTGGTCAGTATCTCTCTTCAGCTAATGTATGCATTCGCCATGGCAATTCAGATAAGATTGGGTAAATTATAACCATGTATGTATGTCTTCAAGACTAATCGAAAATTTATAATGTTTCATCTTACGTTCCCACCCAAAGCCTTTTATGCATGCATTCATTTTCACTACTCACCTGTTGTTTGAATTCTTTCTCTAATGCCATCAATCGTAAGATAGCCAAAACTCTTTCTATCGGTATACCAAATTGACCAGAAAGTTTTCGAACATTATAAGTCGAAGGGTTAGAAGTGTGTAATTTCCACATGTCTTCTTTGGTTGCATGTGCAACGGGTGCTGGAGGATTAAAAGAAGGATTGAGCGGAAAAGGTGTTTCGCCTATCCAGAACGGTCCTTTTGATCCTGGAGGTGGACGTTCATATTGTTTTCCGATCGAATTTCTCCAAACAGGATAAGGTGGTAGGTTATCACGTCTTCCAGATGTCCTTGGACCTGCGCTGGGTTCTGAAGCACCCTCTCCCATCGCGCCGTATTGATGACCAGCTTCGACTGAGGTTTCAGCTTGTTGTTCAGAAGAAGTCATGGAAGTGGGTGCAGGTTCGGCAGATTGAAGTGAAGCGGATTGATGAAAACTTCTTCTAGAGCAAGAAGCACTTGTTGAAGAAGTGGAAGCCAAAGCATATTGAAAACTTTGACCAAGCCGCGATCCGTATCGTGTGAGATGAGCCATCTCTGCAGCAAAGATGGTGTTCGATGTTGTGAACTGAGTGATGATTTGATAACCCGGTCGTCCGATCAATTTTGGCGCCTCTTTCGGATCTTCCTTCTTAACTTTTTACAAGTGAAAGGCAAAAGTTAGAGGATAAAACACGTGACAAAAGACATTCTGACTTAAGCAGTTGAGTCTAAGTTTGATTCTGAACACTGCGCGCGCGCCTAGACACACGCTTTCTCTCTTTCGCACACTTCAGCAAACACTCAGACTGGCATGGCTGACTGATATGCCATTTGTATTGGTTGGCCATGCAATTGACTGTTCAATGTCATATGTTACTGTTTTAACTGCGTACAAGGCCTTTTCACGGCTTCTTTTTCGCCCTTCCCACTTCCCTTTCTGCTAAATCTTTTGCCCATTTCCTCAAAATTACTTTTTGAACCTTTCCAGAAGCCGTTGTCGGCATGTTTTCTTCAACACCTTCTCTTCCCAAGAACCAAACCCAATCAGGCGCACATTGCGGTGAAATTTGACTTTTGACATGGGCACGAACGTTGATTGGTGTCAAAGATGAAGCGACATCCCCTGAAAGATGACTTGCTACACTGATAAATACACCAACCGTTTCTCCCATCTTTTCGTCAGGAACAGCAACTGCTGCTGAGCTGGTAACTCCGGGTAGTGTATCAATGCAGCTGTAGGGGCAATATCTTGATAAGAGACATGGCATCTATACGAGAATAGTCATTTGAACTCACTTCTCAATACTTGTTGCTGTCAAATTTTCACCTCCTCTGATAATCATATCTTTCACCCGTCCCTGCAAAGAGAGAAGGTTTGTCAGCATTTCATATTGGTGCTTTACCGTCAACATTGACTCACTCTGATCTCCGTGTATCCATCTTCATGAATTACCGCTAAATCGCCCGTTCGCATCCAAGTAATCTCGGGTTCATCAGGATGCTTTTGCAATACTTCATCTGTCTTTTTCCCATCATTCCAATATCCGCCTTCCATGATCAAATACCCTCCAGTACACAATTCACCAACTTGACCGACCGGAAGTGCTTTTCCACTTTCATCTTCTGGATCGACAATCTTTGCATGAGCATGTGAGACGATCCTTCCGACCGTTTCACATCGAGATCGTACTGGTGCATCCGTATCACATGCAAAGCTTACAGGACTGGTCTCCGTCATTCCATAAACGACTGTTTGTTCTTTTGCACCTAAAAGGTTATCATCCATAAGTGCATGCATCAATTCAATCGGGACTGTAGATCCACTTGTGAATCCTGTTCGCAGGCAAAATTCCCACTTTTCATCAGGATCTATTCCATACTTTTGCGTTAATTCTTCATCCCATTTCCCATCCCTTTCTGCCTCTCTCACCCTTCGCAAGATGTCCAATTCGGCAATGAAGTGTGCCGGCACACCATGAATAGCAGTTGCTTTCTCTTGTGATGCAGCCCGCAATGTACGAACAGGTTGAAAGCCTTCTGAAGGATACAAGATACACGATCCTCGTGACCAGGCAGCCAGATTGCCCAGCGTCAAACCGAAGCAGTGAAACAAGGGTGGAACATTTGTCAAGATGTCTTTGTCTGTCAAATGCATGACGTTTCCCAACATGATTCCATTGTTGACCAAATTCCTAGAAGAAAGAGAAACGGCTTTTGGTGCTCCAGTCGTACCACTTGTCAGCTGCAAATTGATTATATCCCTACTGCTTATACCTTCCTCTTCTTCGCTATGAACTCTGTCTCTTCCACTTCCTGAATCTTGTGATAGAAGCAAAGAGCGATAATCAATCCCTCTCCCGTTGAGTCTTTCTAGAGCAGATTCAAATGTGTATCCTTTTTGCATCCCCAGCACACTTTCCGATTCCCATCCTTTCGGCCTTCCAGTCAGATTATCGACTAGGACAATGTGCTCTAGTGTCGGACAACTTTCATCTTGAAGAATAGTTCTGTCACCTTCAGAGCCACTACCAGAAGCCAAAGAGGGCAAAATAGCATGTAAGTTGTCCAAATAATTCGATGACCGCAAAGAAGGAACGATGAACAAGTACTTTGCTTCCACATGATTGAGAGCTCGTAGCAGCTCTTTGGCAGTATATGAAGGATTCAAAGTGACCAAGATCGCACCAATGAATGCCGTTGCAAATTGTAATGATGCCATATTAGAACTATTCATCATCAAGACCGCAACCCGATCTCCTTTACGTACACCTAGCGATCGCATTCCTCGCACTAGTTTACGTATATGCTCGTCCATTTCTCCAAATGTCCATCGGATGCACGAATCGTCAGAAGCTTTTCCAGTATTGCTTATGTTATGATGATTTGATGGCTCATGTCGAACGATCAGTGCGGGTCTATCCTCGTGCTTCCTTACACGTTCTTGCCAAAATTGTGCCAAAGTGGCTTCGGGGAGTGGTTCTTTCGTTGGTCCTGACACGCGGGAGAGCAGTCTACCTTGCTCATCTCGCTGACTTGGCTCTTGTCCATACGTATGGAGGCTTCTTGCTGCACTAGCTATTCGACCTCCAAGAGAAGTATTCCTTGAACATGATGGCAGGAGGTATGATATTCTTCTTATACCACATATCTTCTGCCTGCCTCCTCTCAGAATAGCTGTCATCATTATCTTTCTCAAACAGAGATGATGATATTTACAAATTAAGAACCTTAAAGCATCACATCTTGATCAAGTGCCAAGTGAAATGTGACCTTATTGTTTACCCCGGATAAAGTCTTAACTTTAATTGCAGGCATGCATTCTGTCTGTGTCTTCGCGTGGCTTAAAACGGCACCGGAAAAGCCGGTCAGTGGGGGGACAAAGCGCTAAATCTTCTCTTACCCCGCATTCATATAAGGCACACTTTAAAATGAAAAAGGTATAAAATTCCATGATCAACCAGAATGAGTTTGAAATGTTCCAGAAGAATACGAAGTACAATATGCAAAAGAAAGAAAAATGCAAGGCAAGGCTTTGAGACATAATAAAAGTTGTCAAACCTGCATGACAGAGAGAGCAATAACACCATAAATCGGTAAGATCAAATTATCATTTTGATTGGAAATCCCTTCAAATAAGCCAAGGATGATACTTGCAATGCCAAAGCGTACCAATGAAAAAGGCGCACACCATCCTATCAAACGTAGAAAGATTGCACTTGCAAAGATGCTTACGATAAATGCAACACTGCCTTCCAACGTTTTACCACTGTTTGGCCATCGAACGCGACCATATCTTCTACCGATGATACTTGCTAATGCATCACCAACGCCAAGTACCAAAACACCAATAAACATCGAAATGTCCACGTCTCCGCCTTTTGTCCAGTTGGAAAGATGGATGTCCGGAAGAGAAGGAACGCCTAATTGATGATCATACCAATTGAATGTGCCAAGCACGGTAGTCCAAATGGATTCGTATGCATCTGCCTTACTTCCATTCGATGATATGATTTGTTGAGATAGTGTTTGACCTGCTTTTGTACTTGTTCCATGCAAACCATCGATCCATAAACCACCCGCACAACCAGTTAAAAGGTAAAAGTGCGAAAGAATGACCGGCCCGCTATCCTTATGATCGGTAAATTCCGATAAAAAGATATGCAAAGCAGCACCGAAAGGGTATAAAGCATAATAACGGACATATTCAGCAAAAATAAAAACTGAAAATGCTAAACTGAAAGCCAAATGCATAAATGCAGGATCGAATGCGATTCCAGGCGCGAACATCAAAACGGCCAAAGCATGAAAGAATTTCCTCCTTGCGTTCAAGCTCAGATAAGCGGCTCGTTTGGGGAACAATTGGTTTGCTGCAGCTGATAGATCTCCTGAAGCACTACTTGCCATAGATTTCATCTTTGAGAAACCTACTTCCAAAGGCTCATTGGCGGATGAGCCTGGTGCCCCGACCGGCGTTGCTCCAATACGACCTGCATTGACGGTTTGATGATTCGTTGAAGAATTACTGATCCCGTTTGCGTTGTTTGATGCCCCCGTTCTGATTCTGAATCGTTTTCCACTCAAAACCGTCGCTTGCCAACCGACAACTGTGATGCTTACCAAACCTATCCAATACGCAATCAGTACAGGTCTGCTCCACCATCTCTGTCCACTAATGACAAAATTGAACGTCCAAAGCCATGGATTACGTTTGTCCAATACCCAATATACCCACAATCCCAAAACACCAACAACGTAAAGGGCAGAGAAAAGGTAAAAGAAAAAGGCCAGCAAACGTCTATGCAAATCACGTTTATGTGGCCATCGTAATCTGTGAACGGGCTTTTGTGCCAAATGTCTTGACAGGTAAAGCAAGGGCGAAAGTAAGAATCCGATCATAAACGTACCCACAACGAGTGCTAGTTGGAATGTAAGCAAAGGCGTTGGCCTTCGAAACGTTTTCACATATGGTGTCATGCCCGGTAAAAGCCTTGCCGTTGTCAAGTTCAAGGCTTCCATAGCCAATGTCACACCTACACTTGCCACGATCGAGAGCTCTCCCAAAGTAAAACTTCTTCGCCCCAATTGAGAGACCGTATAAAGATTACTCTGGAAGAATAGTGTGCTTGTCAACAGTTCGCCACGCGTAAGACCGGTCCATAGTCTAATCCCAATCCACGAGAATGCTTCTCTCAACAAAGTGAGTGAGACTGAAAGAACGAAGGCGAATTTTGTGCAACTCCATAGCCGCTTCCACGAGCTTGTACTGATCTCTTCCGGCTTGCGAATGTACTTTGTCGCTAAAAGATGGACCAATAATGTCGTAGACATGGCAGTTTGTAAACTTAGAAGCGTACAACGAGACAATGCCAATGCAGTCATCGTTGGATGGGGTACAGTGCGGTTGCCCAAGACCAAAGCTGGAGTCTCTACACGCCAAGGCGGGAAAGGCAATCCATCTCCAGATGCTAGACGTTGAGCAGGTCTATCCTCCAACGAAGCAAACAGACAAGTCACGCCTAACAACGGACCAAGCAAAAGACCCAACATCGCACCATCATCTCCACAGGCACGGTATTGACGTAGATGTGTTGCCCAAATTGAACCATTTTCGTTCTTGTTGCGCAAGAAAAGATAATAAATTATACTTCCTACCACCAAGCTCATCACTTCGCATGCGTGCGTCTTTGTGGCTTCATCCGCATACGTGTACAGCCTGTATGCCATGATCACACAGGCTCCCACAAGTAAAGCCCCTTCAAAGGTGGCATTGGACGGCCATCGTAGACGTGCTCTTGCCCAGGCAGTCTCTGCACTTTTTCCATTAATTCCATTTGTTGCTTTTAAGTTTTGTTGAGATATCCTGCTTAGCCCCAAAGTGTTCATTGCCGGATATTCGCTTGATTCCAATTCTTTCTCACGTTTTGTCGGCGTGGAAGGACAGCTGCCATCTCGCGCAGAGTTTAGCTGCAAGGACCTTCTTCGAGGCGATGACGTTCTCTCTGCGCTATCATAGGAATATCCTGATCTTTGTTGTACTTGCAGTGACCCTGTATGCGGAGTGATTGGCGTTAAACGTTTAGGGGGAACGTCCCAATCGAATGCTTGCCGTTCAGAGCTTGAAGCGTCACTGCTACTTCCATCATCTATTGTCCGTCTCCTTCCAGATTCTGATGGTCCTGCTGCATATGTAGTACTGGTCTCTATTGCTGATAGTCTCCCTATCGAATTCGCTGTATCGTCCCCCACTTCGTCTGTATCAGCATGCTCAACCTCCTCTATCTCGTCATCGTCATCTTCATCGTCTCCTTCTTCACCTATGCCAAACATTTTAGATCTTGAAAACATGTCGGCTTCATGTCCACTTCTCCCTCTTCGGACTGTAGGCCTAGAAGAACCCGGTGCTGATTCTCTGCGCGACTTGAAGCTATGATCATTCCCGTTCTGCAGGTGAAGTTTTCCGGACGATTGAACGGAATCTCGAAATCTTTTTCTCTCGATCGAATGCCTTCTAGCTCCGTCCATTCCATTGCCTTGCGATGATGGTCCTGTACGATCAGAACGAACAGGCAAAGAAGTTCTTCTTGCATGCTTTCTTGGACGATCAATTTCTACCGGTGGCGGATTACGTAGAACGGTAGGTTTGAGCATATTGGCTAATGAATCGTTTGACCATGTTTTCTGTAGATTAGATGATGCTGGATTTACCTGCATCAAACGAGAAGATGACCCATGGGAACCGTTCAAGGATGTATTTTGTCGTGACATTTGTGCGGAAATGTTATCCCTGTTGCGTTGGTTCTGTCATTTGAGATTGTGGAGAAAGGATGAAAGTGTTGAATTCGTAATGCTATAAGAATGGTTATAGCTTTCTCTCTTGAGGTATTGTCGTATGATGATGGTGTCTATTTTGTATATGAATGGTAGAAGTGAATGTTACTTCACCCATTCAATATCCTCCACGTTTGTAATGAATGATTCGAATTTAAGAAATGTTATTTTTGTCGCGTTAATAGACGCATATCTCACAATGAGCGGCGGCTTCTTTTCCGAGCGAGCTATCAGTCGCGGCCCGCCTGGAAAAAAGAGAAAAACGTGGATGAATGCATAATGTGTTATGTACACCGGCGGGCCATGGAGGCCGTCTTTTGTTTAAGCATGAAATTGGGAAAAACAAGATTGACCGCGGACGTGGAACAAATGACGTTGGAATGGATAAGATGATCTTCAACGAGAGATAAATTGCCGAAGTCATTGTTCTTCAAGGAGTGAATAGACTCAGACTCCCTATTACGGGAAGCTGTTTTTAAACAGAGGAGGAGTTGGGTGCAGTTAATACAGTGATTGGCGCAGCGCAGCGCAGAACACAGCGCTAAAGGAGGATAATTCACTGGACATGTATGCGTGAACAGCATTTATCTCAAAAATCAAGAGAGGTCATCCGTCCATCACCTTCATCGGTATCACTTTATTCAAAAGACAGTGACTTCATTCTCTGATCATCTTGGCCTCCTAGTCGTCGACCTTATTAGTCAAGATGATTGGGAGATACGTGCAATTGTTCTTGCTGGCCTCAATGGTGCTACTGCTACCTTCGCTCTTTTATCTTTCGAGACAGCATCAAGACTACAGCATTCTAAAGGACTACTCGTTAATGCAAACACATTCCTACAAAGAGAATGATAAAGATTGGAAACAACTATCAGAACAGAACAAAGTACAAGGATCGCAAGGGCATGGACCTCCTCCTGCTTTAGACCCAGAAATCGCACAGGCATGGAAGTTCAGTAATGTGTGGCATGGACTAGGATTGGGTAGCAAACAAGCAGAATCAGAAGCAGAAAAGGCAAAAGCGGCACTCTCTGCTCAAGCAGCACAACCTATCGTATCTCAAGGTGCAATCATGCCAAAAATGACAAATGCTACAGCAAAGTGAGTGACAGTTGTTTTCTCTTTAATCATTCCCCTGAAGTACACCCTCTGACATCCCCTCTTTTTACTCATAGAGCTGAGCTTGGAAGGGCAACATGGCGTTTCCTGCATACAATGACATTACGATTTCCCGAAAAGCCAACACAATCAGACAGAGAAACACTTCTACGATTCATGAACGACTTTTCGCGTTTGTATCCTTGCGGTGAATGTGCTGAACATTTTCAACAATTGCTCAAAGAGCTACCACCACAAACTGCAAGTAGGATGAATGCAGCGTTGTGGCTTTGTGCAGCACACAACAAGGTCAACGAAAGACTTGGGAAGCCGGAGTTTCCATGTGATAAGCTAGATGAGACGTACGATTGTGGATGCGGAGATGATACCAAGTCATCATCGAGTAGCGTTCCTCTTGCTACTTCTACAGGGGTCTAAGATTGTCTTTATAGAGAAGTTTTGATTTGTACATATATGTTTGTATTTCTATGAATGATAAAAAATTCAATCGTCACGAAGGCTATGGCATCTCCTAGTATTCACATTATTACTGTTAATAGGCTCTCGCTCGTCGGAGCTTTAGAAAGTTTTAGGCTTTGACAATATACGCCAACGATAATACATTAGATTGAAACGCGGACGCGCCCAGAGATTACGCGTGTACAGGAACACTGAAGCAACAATCTAATTATGCATATGCATGATGAACTTTGCGTGTAAGAAAAGAGAAAAGATGCAACACTCCTCTTCTTCCAAGCGGCGGAGACTATTTTTTTTCCAATTCGCGTCTTCCTCGTGCTCATTGTGCCCTTTCCTGGCAGAGGCTTGCTTGCTTGCTTTTGTCTTGTTTGGATACATTACATACTTACCTGGATTCGATTGGAATGGATGGCTTGGACGCGTTTTCATTTCCATCCATCATCATCAATCATTCATCACAATCTCACTTTTGATTGTGTGGAGGCATTCCAACCTTCTCATCACGTCAACCAAGAAGGACTTCTCCATCAAAAGGTATCGCAAGGAAAGCGGTACAGTTCACTCTCTAAACACACGGACCTGCTCATCCAGCTGCAAGCTTGCCAGATCACAACTTTACCTTACATTTGCTCTCTCACTTGCTCCATGCTGTCACGTTTGACCTAAGAAGAAATAGCAACACACACGCATATACTCGACTCGATCTCGGCTGGGTTCAAACGCAATCGTAGCAGATACTGCAATGCCTTTGATCAAACGTAAACCGGTCGATTTGGTTTTACCGCCTCGCAAGGATGACCTTGGAAGTGATGAAGCAGCCGTGTTCTACATTCAACAAACGGGTGAAATATTTTTGGATTACGAAGAATACGTTCAAAGATTATCCTTCTATCAGCAACATATCTTTCAATGTGAACTTTCAGGACGCATTCATTTGACTTTCTTCGAAGCTTTGAAATCGGAACGAAAGGAATCAGCTTGGGTACATCGCAACTTCCCCGAACCGCTGAAAGAGCCTATTCTGAGAAGTGTGCAGTTCTACGTGACTGGTCGGATTGATGAATTGGTGGACCTCGTATTCGATCGTTTCAAAGATCGATTCTTTGTTGATGAAACAGTCATCTTGGATATCCATGGTGACAAATTCCCAGCTGCGGTCAGAAAGGTATTCCCGAGCAGAAACTTGATCAGAAGAAGGGAAGAGGAAGTCGCACTTTCAATGAAAATCGAACAAAGTCTACAGAACAAGATTAAAAGTGAGGACAATGGAGAGAATGATTCGGTCTTGTCCGACCCTCCCGAAGAAAGCCCCAGCAAAGACCAAAGGCCGGACGTGCGATTGGAGCCAAAAGACATCTCCCACAGAATCGGCACAGACCTAACTAGAGATAGCGATGAAGTGATGAAAGAGGATCATCCAATCGATGACTACCTATACAACGTGCAATTGCTAAGTGCTGATGGCGAAGACGACTTCTCTATGGCGCTGATGGAGAGAAGAGCCGACACACTCACGCGAGACCGATCCACGTTCTCGAAAACGATGTTACGCAAATACTTGAAAGATTGTGTAATTCGTGATCCTAGTATTGGTTCTCCTTGGGTTGTCAAACCAATTTTGGCAGAAAAGTATGGAATACCACAACAAGCATCGGAAGATATTGAAGAAAAGAATCGATTGATCAAAGAAGGAAAGCTAAGTAAGCGCAGAAAGTATCTTGAAGAAGAAAATGCTGATGGTACGGTCAACAAGAAACCTCGTAAGAACAAAGCTGAGGCTGCTAAAGAGGAAGCTGAGCGTAAGGAGGAGGAAGAAAGAAGAAAAGCAGAAGAGAGGCGGAAGAAGATGATCAAATATCCGATCGAAGATCTGCTATTAGAGCCATTGAATGATGAGGAAGTGGTAAAGAGCGAAAATGGGGATCACATTACTCGCAGAAATCTGCGACCGGTTCCTAGCACAAGCCTGCTTCCTGCTGGCAAAGATCTTTTCGAGCCAATGATGAACAGCTATGTGTTCCTACAAGGATGCGCGAAAGCTCTTCTGCTCTCCCCTTTTCATTTGGACGATCTCGAATCTGCGCTCAAACATTCAAGTTATGACCCTCCTTGTCATCTTGTCGGTGAGGTACACGCTGCTTTGTTAAACATAATCGTACGCGATTTCACCAATCAAAAAGTTCCAACGATCAAAGCTGTTGCCAAAGATGCAAGCGGTGATGAAGAAGATGAATTTGATGAAGAAAACAACGAAAGCGAAGAAGACGAAGAGGCCGAGCAAATCGCAGATGACGATGAGGAAGAAGATGAACTGGACGAATTAGACAGTAAAGCTTCTAGTGCTGCGGATGAATCAGAGATCGATTCAGGCGAAGAAGAAGATGAAGAAGGCGAGAAAGGCGAAAAGAAGCAGGGCGAAGAAGTATATGCTGCCGGACGAAAGCTAGGAAGAGGATGGGAAACAAAACTCCTACGCTCGGAGAATTTCAGAGCAGGATGGGAATACAGCTTGTGCGGTATCCTTGCCAAACGTTCGAATCCAGAAACATTTCCTCGTGGATTGGCAATCTTATCGCACTTGACAGGCGTTGGAAGTTTCTCAAACGGTAACGTCAAGAAAGAAGAGGGTAAAGAAGAAAAGGAGGAGCCTTCTGTACCGGTGAATGACATATACCAAACGCCCGTTCAAAGATATGTCACCCTCTCGCTGGGAGACAAGATTGTCATGCTGGAGTTTTTATGTGAACAAGCAGTTTTGACTCGCGGAATCAAACGATTCTTTGACGAATGTGAAGCCCAATTGACCGAATTACGCAAAGAACGTGTCGAGCTTGGACGAGCACGACGAAAACTTGCCGAGGACCGAGCTGCGCACGAGGAGAGTACCAAGAAAGAGTCTGATGAAGAAGAGGAAGGTGCAGATGGCGAAGAAGGCGAAGAAGGCGACGAAGAGGAAGAAGAAGAAGCGGAAGAAGAGGATTCTGATGAAAGCAAACCGCAAGTGAATGGCAAAAAGGGTCAGAAGCTCAATGGTGCGAATAAAACATCGAATGGCAAAAAAGGAAGAAAGATTGCTAAAGAAGAAGAAGAGTCGGCAGGTGAAGATGACGAATTGGCTTCGACCGGAGTACCCAATTCGGAAGACGACTACGATTCTAGCGGGACAGTTGATCCTGAAGACCGCAAATATAGACGCAACTTTGGCTCTAGACAAGAAGCTATGCGCATCAAAGCCATTCAAAGGGAAGCCGAAGAAGCTGACAGATTGGCACGCCAACGTCAAGAACGTGAAGAATACCGAATTCGTCAATTGGAAAACAAGCAAATTGCAGTTGAGCGAAAAAGAATGGACGATGAAGAAGCTCGGATCATCAAACGCGAAGAGGCAATTGAACGAGAATTCCGTCAACACAGTCAAGCGCCAAGACTTCATCCTTTGGGCAGAGATCGTTTCATGGACAAATATTGGTGGTTCGATGGTGTTGGAGCGGCAAGTCTTGTTGGGCCACAAGGTCAAATTCAGTACAGCACAGGTAGACTATTTGTTCAAGGTCCATCAGAAGAAGAATGGACGATTCTCATTGATGAATTTGCACCTGGTAAAGAAATCTTAGAGCAAAGAAGAAAAGAAGATTATTCCGAAGAGGGTATCCTAGGCGCAGATCAATGGGCTGTCTATACTGAATCAGAAGACATTGATACGTTGATGTTATGGCTTCGATCAAAAGGAACACGCGAACATGCTCTACGGCATCAATTCACAAGATTTCGTAATTACATACAACCTGGCATGCAAAAACGATCTCACGATTTGACTGGAGGTTGGAAAGATAATGTTGAAACCCGAAGATCGAATCGAACAAAAGATAATGCTTCTACAAGACCAGCGTATATGAACTATCGAAACGGATTTGCAAAAGGTGTACAATAAAATGTGTGTGTGTGTGTGAATCACTCCCAAATTAATACCTACCGAACTAAAGATAAACTACTCTCTTGCCATATATTTGGTCTTAAAAATTGCTTCATCTGTTTAATACAATGATGTACTCCATGTATCAGTAGAAATGCATCTGCAACAAAATACATACAATTAATCGTCGAACTCGTTATCGTGTCTGTACTTGTACGGGCGGCCATCTCTCAGGTTGAACATCCTTGTTGACACCCACTTAAAATCTTTAAGATTAATTTGAAACGCAATTTTTGGATCAAGTACATGCATGGAAATGTATATGGTGACACGAGGAATCTTGAATGTTTGGTTCATAAAAATGAAAGTAGGGTGTGAATTATGTCGTGATCATTCATGATATAGAGAAAGAAAAGAGATAGAACATCTGTATAAAAGTTGAAAGACAGGAAGGGGGGAAAGAGAAGGGGTCTATGTGCAAATCTGCCTTTAGAGATCCAAATGGCAATAAAAGCTATATTTTTTCTTCATTTGACATGGTATATGGGAGAATATATACTCTCATTCTTCTTTCAACTCCTTTTTTTAGTGGTGGTGGTGAAGTACATCTTTTGTGTGAATCTCCTTATTGGGTCATACCATCATTGCCACCTCCAAATCCATTGCCTTGCGGTGCGCCAAAGCTAAATCCACCTGCTGGAGCTGCCAAATTGGATGCAAAGCTGAATTGACCTGCTTCATTAACTTGAGGAGCATCCACACCAGTCTCTTCTGCTTCTTCTTCATCGGGGAAGTATTTGTCCATGATGAAGAAACATTTCTTGTAAATTTCCAAATTTTCATGGTGTTGCAAATTGTGAATTGTTACCATTCCATTGCATTCTTCAATGTAAGCTGCATACTGATTGACTGCGCCAGGTCCTGCAGCGTTCTTGTCTTCTTCTCCAACTTTCAGAATATTCTCTAATCCATCCAAGGCAACTTGAATAATCTTGTTGTCCATAGTCTTAAGCAATTCACAAAGAGGTCGGATACAGCCTTGGCTGACAAGGTAACGAATTTGTGCAGGTTCTTGTAAACCACCTGACGTTGCATTAGAGATTGCCCAGCATGCTTCCTTCTTTGTCTTGAAGTCTGCGTGTGTTAAGATGTTGATGAGTGGTGGAATAATGTTGGCATCGATCACGGCTTGAATCTGTTGTGGGCTACCGGCTGTGATATTTGAAATTGTCCAACAAGCTTCTTTCTTGATACCATCTTTAGGAGAAGAGAGCAAGGAAAGCAAAGGAGGAAGAGCGCCTGAGCTGATGATCACTTGCGTCTGCAAATCGTCTCCTGTGACAATGTTACCGACAGACCGTAAAGCAGGGGTTTGGACGGCAGTAGAAGGATGAGTGAGCAAATCGACCAATCTACGGGTCAATCCAGATTCGATAACGGCCTGAATCTTTTCATTTGCACCATCCGAGAGGTATGAGATTGCCCAGCAAGCGTCGATCAAAACTTCGTCATCCATGGAGTAGATCAATTTTGTCAAAATCATCAATGCGGGTGAGACTTGTGTCCAATCAGGCTGTGGGTTCTTACCACGACAGAAGTTGCTCAAAGTCCAGGTTGCGTTTCGCAGCATGCTCAATTTGTGATTTTCGCTTAGCAAGGTGAGCAAAGGAGTCATGGCACCCTGTTCAAGTACATAATCTCTGCATTTGGGGCTATCACCTGCAATGTTTCCCAATGCCCAAACAGCTTGTTCACGAACATCCAAAACGGGAGACGAAAGCAATTCGATGAATACGGGAACTGCACCTTCATTGATGACGACTTGTGTATGTTCAGATGTACCGGAAGCGATATTTGTCAAAGCCCAAGCTGCTTCGAATTGCAGCATGCTATGAGAGCTACGAAGGAATTCAACAAAACGAGGAACAACACCACAAGCGATGACACGTTCGATTGGTGGATTCTTCTCTTTTGATAAAAGTTTTCGGAACTTTGTCGTGCAATCCAATTGAACGTCAGCGTTATCAGACATTACTCCAGCGATCATTTGTGGCATATCATCATTGAGTTGTTTTTCCATTAAGCCATTACTGACTTCATCTTCGTCTGAATCACCATCAGTCATTGCGCCCGTTGAAGCGATATTTAAATTTCTTCTCTTTGCCATACTTTCATCACGCTTTTGACGACGAATTTCCACTTGAGCTTCTTCTCTTCTACGACGTAATTCGTCATGTTTGAATTGACCTTTTGCTTTGTAAGCGTCTTGACGACGACTGAGATCACGAGAAGCCATGATGGGCAAAAGGTGTTGGTTGTTGAAAGATGTAAATGATACCTTCTTATTCTATGCCAACAGCAATGAATGCTGACGATGGTAGACGTGAAAAATTGTGTTGGTCTGCACTGAGGGCGAACAAATTGTTGATCTTATTGTTTATTGAATCTAATGCACTGCATCAGTCTAAAACACGCGCCGCAAAGACGCAAAATCTCACCAGACACACACACACAAAACATTTCTCGCATTGAACTCTTAAGAGTTGCTTCTTCACGCCCACAGCCAGGCAGGGCTATACATACACAGCAGCGTACCTTATCCCATCGGATGAGCCTACTCTACAACGAGATGATAGTGATAACCATTATAATGCCAAAGATGTCTGATGATTGCTTTATTTATCACATATATTATATACCCTGGAATGCTTCTCATGCGTGCGTACTCAGCTTCGGAGCTGATATGAGTGTACACGTAATATTTTTCATACGCCTCGGAGTAAGGCCGATCGGTAATAAGGAACTAGTGTAAGCGAATGAAATGAAAGTCTCAAGGGACATGCTTTAACTTCCTTCCGCTCTCCACAATCAAGCAGATTGATAAGAAGTTTTAACCTTCTTGTCATTCCCCAATAATGTCTACAGCTATGACATCAGGTGGCGGTCATCATCACCATAGCGTACATCCATCAGATTTAGAGGTATTGGACTCATTAACAAATGTGCCTTCCACTTCGACCGGTCATGTGAACGGAGTATTAAACGAAAGAAGACCTTCGAGAAGACCTTTGGATACTCTTCAAGCATTGCGACGGCCTCCAATCGATCCAATCGTCCTCGCAGCAAGTCTTTCATCAGGTCCACATGTTACAAGACATCATTTCTTGCATAGCTTCGGACCAAAGACCGAAAGCAAACAGATGACTAGAAGTCAAAGAGCGCAGAAGAGAAGAGAAGAAGAGGAAGAGGAGGAAGCCAGACAAAGAGCTTCATCTTCTCGTCTTGGAACACGACCAAGGGCAGGATCATATGCCAATTGCGATGCAGATGATGATATTGGCGAAAGAGCAAGACGTGCGAATGAGATCTCGCAATCCATCCTTGAAGAATTGGGTGAAGCCCAGACATATCAAAGTAAGCAGATGCCGCGAAGTGAGAGGCTGAAGAAGGAAAAAGAAGCTCAAGAAGCTAGAGAGCGTCAAAAGGTGGGAGCGATGAACCCGGCTACAGAAGAAGGTAAAGCTGTTTCTAAGAAGATCGACAAGCTCAAACAGCAAGAAGCCCGACCGAAAGCTGTCCGATTAGCCTCCCAACAGCTTGATGATGAATTGTTGCAACGCAAGAGTGTGATTGAAGCAAAGCAAAATCAACAAGCACAAGTACAGCAACAGCTTGCTATCAATCGCCAAAGCACACCAATCACAGAAACCGTTCCTGCAACACCAGCTTTCTCATCTATTGTCAGACCGCCGCCGCTCACAATCCGGTGTTATGCAAGAACGAGAATACCTACTCCGCATGGAGAGATTTTCTGTCATCTTTATCGAAATAATCGGGATCAGAAGGAGCATCTTGCATTGGTGATTGATCCAGCTCAGAATGCAGCAGACGATAGATATGCAAATGCACCGGGTCAATTTATCCGAAGTAAAACGTTGGATGAAGTTTGGGGACCTACTGAAACAGAAATGGAACGTATCGTTCGAGGTGCATATGTCGGAAGGCTTGGACCAACCAATCAACAAGCGAGCAAGCAAGGTATGCTTACTTCCGATGCTGCTGCTGCTGCTAACGTCGAACCACCTTTGGTCAGAATCCATTCGGAATGTTATACAGGCGAAACGATTGGATCGCAAAGGTGTGATTGTGGTGAGCAATTGGACGAAGCAATTCGTTTGATTCATGCTGATGCTCGGCCTGCAAAAGGTGTGGTGGTATATCTGCGTCAAGAAGGCAGAGGTATTGGGTTGCTGGACAAATTGATGGCATACAATCTACAAGATATGGGTCACGATACAGTGGCAGCCAATATCTTACTTGGTCATTTGGCTGATGCACGTAAATATGATATAGCAGCAGAAATTTTACGAGATTTGGGCGTTGGCAGTTGTCGGCTTTTGACAAATAATCCTGACAAGATGGAGGCTTTAGAAGCGGAGGGTATCTCGGTCAACAAACGTGTTGCAATGGTGCCAAGAATATGGAGAATGCATGCGCCCCCCAGAAGAAAGCTGAAGAATTCTCAAAGCAAGAAATCTAGCCGACGTAAGGCTAGAAAGTCTAAAGGTTTGGATTCAAGTATCGTGTCCCAATTTGATGGAGGAAGTACGCATGCCACTGGAACGACTGACGAAGACGGCGATGGGGAAGATTACGATGATGAAGACGATTCATTCAGTGATTCTTCACGAGACTCTTATTTGGAACATCATCAAAGACGTGCGGGAGCCACAATGATTGGAGCCAGTTTAACACGTGGACCAGAACTAGAGAAATACTTGCGTACGAAAGTTGAAAAGATGGGTCACCTGCTGGATGTACCTGCCGAACAAGTTCAATCCGCTTTAGAACAAAGTCAGCCAGAGTCTGGCCCTGCAAAAGAAAGGAAACATCGACCTCGCCAACGTGACACAACTGATTCTTCGATTGGCAAATTTGACACAAGTGATGGAGATACGGCCGGTACGGATGATGAACCTTTGATGGATGCGGCAGAATTGCAGGAGTATATCACCTCACAATCACAATCTCATGAGGAAGAAGGAGGAGAAGAGATTCTGATTAATGAACAAAAGGAAAAGTACTGAGTCATATATGTTTGTTGTTGTATAGTGTTTGCATAATTGATTGGCTTATTCACTAACTTCCATACGCGTTACAATGGCTTGCAGGGTTGGGGGCCCGTAATCGCCGAGATCTGAGCCATCTGCTGTTGTTCTTGTTGAGCTGCCTCGAATTTAAAACTTCTAGCGCATAAATTGTCCTCCCTGCTATCATTCGATTAGACTATATACATCGGTGAATGGTTTGTGTGGTTGCCATGCAAAGTTAAAGGGTTAAAAAAAGATCGGAACAGTTGCTCAACTCTTAAATCATACACTCATGGGTAATGAATGCTTGGGGTCAAAACGACGACAGGGAACACATCCGATCCGAAAGTGACGCACTCAATTCCACCACCAGCGGCACAGGGAAAGGCAGGATCGACGCTCAAGATCATCATCCATTAAATGCAGCAGCAGCATCTTCTTCGCAGTCGTTCAATCAAAGTCAAAGTGAATACTTTGATGCTCTAAATCAAGACGAAGAGTACATTGACAAAGATACAGACAAGATGAGCAGACATATCGGAACGGCAGAAGAGCGAGAGCCAATGACTCGAAGAATATCCGATGTATTCGATAAATCATATACGTCTACATCAGCACAATCGAAGCGTGATTCGACTGCATCTCAACAAGCAACTTCTCGAAGTTGGGCGGATGAGAATGATGTGTATACCAAAACAGGAACGGACAGACTTAAACGTGGGATTGGAACGAGAGGTGACATTCAATCCAGTCCAACGGGTAAGGCACCGCCATTCTTTGCTCGTAATCCAAGGATGATGCGTTTGGCATCACAAGTATCTATAGGAACAGGAACGGAAGGAAGACCAGGATCAATCTATGACGGCGGAGAAGGTGGAGAAGGTAACGTTCATTCTTGGCGTGCGACAGCTGTTGGATCTACACCTCTAGATCGGACGATTGATGCAATCGGAATGGGAAGGTATCAATATGCCGTCTTGATCTTATCTGGATTCGGTTGGGCGGCTGATAATATGTGGTTGCAAGGTGTGGCCATTTGTTTACCACGTATTCAAGATGAATGGGAAATACGTGATCAATGGATCGGATTGGTATCTAGCAGTACATTTGCCGGAATGATGATCGGTGCTTTGGCTTGGGGTTCTTATTCGGATATGTTTGGACGAAAGAATGCCTTCAATATGACTTTGCTCATCACTGCAATCTTTGGACTTTTGTCTTCTTTTGCACCAAATTTTCCGACTTTGTGCTTGTGTCTCTTTTTGCTTGGCACAGGTGTGGGAGGAAGTATGCCAACGGACGGGACAATTTTTCTAGAAGCCGTTCCGAAGAGAAATCAATACCTCTTGACAGCACTCTCAGTATTTTTCGCAGCTGGCAGTGTTGTGACTTCCTTGTTTGCATTTTTCATCGTGCCTACAAATAGTTGCGGAGGTGCTTTACCTTGTCCAACAAATGACAATAAAGGATGGCGATATCTTTTGGCAAGCTTGGGTGCTTTAACTGTTGTCTTCGTTATGGCACGATTGGTGTTCTTTACCCTGTTTGAATCACCCAAATACCTCGTTTCTGCTGGAAAACATGAAGAAGCACGTTCGGTTCTGCAAAGGATTGCCGCCTTTAACGGAGATCCAAAGAGAGTAAGATTGAGCGATGTAAGTGATCGAAACGAACCGCAACGTACGTCATCCCGTCCCGGTCGAACGCGCAGTACATTCATACCCGACTCTGAAAACGGTCGTGGCAACAATACATTGCAACAAGCACGCAACTCTTTGGAATGGTCTAACGGACAGGACCAGGAGAGAGAAGGTTTGATGGCAAATGCAGAAGAAGATGAAGATGCGGAAACACAACAGAGAAGGCACAGCTTTGGCGGTCATGAACATTCACATGATAGCGAATGGCAGGCAAACAGACAATCCCATACGAAATGGTCAAAAACAATGCAACTTTTACCAGAATCTTGGCGTCCATCTGTGGCAGAAAGTGCATCGCGTTATACAGATTTATTTTCACCTTATTGGCGAAAGACGACCATCCTAGTGTGGTCAATCTGGACAATTTTTACTCTGGCATATACGATGGTCAATGTGTTCTTGCCGAAATACCTTGAGAGTCGCACAGGAGGAAAAGAGGAGATCGTGGATGTTACCGATCCCATCAGTCGACAAAGAGCGATGCAAGCCGTGATGAAGGAGTTCCTGTTGTATTCCCTTGCGTCTCTACCGGGTTCACTACTAGGAGCTTACCTGATCGAAACGCCATTAGGAAGGATTAAGTCTATGGCACTGTCTACTTTCTTCCTTGCGCTTTCTCTTTTGGCATTCGCGATGGCAAGGATGACGTTCTTTGTGATTCTTTCTTCTTGCAGTATAAGCTTATTCGCTTCTATTTCTTATGCTGTCATCTATAGCTATTCGCCAGAAGTGTTCAAGACAAGTTTACGGGGTACCGCAAGTGGAACAGCAAGTGCTTTGAGTAGATTAGCAGGTATTTTAGCTCCTGTTGTGGCAGGATTGTTACTTCAAATTAACGTCAATTTACCGCTTTATTTAGGGTTTGGTCTTCTTGCCGTTACGGTTTGGCTTCAAATCTCATTGCCATACGAAACCCGTGGTCGTGATAGTGAAGAAGAATTAATCGTGGATTAGCAATTTATAGCATATTGTATTTTTATAATGATTCACGCTTGTGGAGTGTTGGTTAAGAAGAACGCGTGTGAAGATGCTTCACGTGTGTGTCTCTGTGTGTGTGTGTGTCTTGCCTGTTTAAAGCTTCCTCAATATTCATGGCCGCGCGTTCAAAAAGGCCGTGCGGTTGTACTACTGACGGTTACAGTGCACAAACACACGCAATTGAGTGAGTATTACGAAGACAGTGTTGGCCATTCTAATAGCAACGACTTCTCCACCATCACTTATTGCCATAACCTATTCAACAAAAAATGGTGGTTCCAATCACTTCAGCTGCCGGTGTGGTAGCTTTATTGGACGAACCTGAACCGGAATTACAATCGTACGCATTACAAAAGTTGAATACGTTGGTTGATTCATTTTGGGCAGAAATTGCGGATAGCGTTTCAAAAATTGAAATTTTGTATGAAAATCCAAGTTTTCCAGATCGTCAACTTGCCGCTTTGGTAGCAAGTAAAGTTTTCTTTCATTTAGGTGAAGAAAATGAAGCTTTAAACTTTGCTTTGGGTGCTGGAAAATTGTTTGATGTGGACAAGAAGGATGAATATACAGACACTGTCATTTCGAAAGCTATCGATCAGTATATCCAAGTCACATCAGAAGATGGAACTTCTTCGAAAGCCGACCCAAGATTAGCAGGAATCGTCGAACAAATGTTTGCAAGATGCATTGCCGATCGGGATTACAAGCAAGCTTTAGGTATCGCTTTGGAAACTCGCAGGCTAGACGTTATCGAACAAATATTCAGCGTCAGTAAGGAACATAGCATTCTCATTTATGTTCTAGAGGCTGTCATGGGAGTGGTTCAAAATCTAGAAGTCCGCAATCAAGTCTTGCATTTACTCGTCAAGATGTTCAAAGCTTTGCCTACGCCCGACTACTTCAGTATCTCTCAATGCTACGTTTATCTGAACACGCCCTCTGCTGCATCAGAACTCTTCTACGACCTTGTTGATAAAGCCCACAACAGTGCCTCATCAAGTGCAAACACTGACAGAGATCCACTTTTGATCGCTTATCAAACCGCTTTCGATCTAGCTGAAAGTGCCACACAAGAATTCCTTGAAGCCGTCAGAAAGGATTTGGCAGATAGAGCAGCAACACTTACCGGCAAGGCAGCAGGTGTCAGCTCTGGCGAAGATGTAGATATGAACGGAGATGCAAATGGTGAAGGCAGTACAGTTTCTACGTGCATTGCTCGTATCCGGTCAATCTTGTTGGGTGAAGAATCCATTCAACTTTACCTTGACTTCTTGCAAGGCGCTAATAACACCGACCTGACCATCCTGAAGGCAACAAAGGATTCATTGGATGCACGTAGCAGTATCTACCACAACGCACTCACATTCGCAAACGCTTTCATGAATGCTGGAACCACAAGTGACAAGTTCCTGCGCGAGAATTTGGACTGGTTGGCAAAAGCAAGCAATTGGAGCAAATTCACCGCAACAGCAGCTTTGGGTGTGATCAACAAAGGTAACCTAAAGGAGGGTATCAGTATTCTGCGACCTTATCTGCCTCACGATGGAGTATCAAGTAGTGTGTACTCGGAAGGTGGAAGTCTGTATGCACTAGGTTTGATTCATGCCCACCACGGCACTGAAGTTATGGACTTGCTCAAAAGCACACTCAAGAGCAACGCAGCTGAGATTGTTCAGCATGGTGCTGCTTTGGGTCTTGGTGCTGCTGGAATGGCTAGCGGAAATGAAGAGGTTTACGAGGAGTTGCGTAACATTCTCTATACCGATTCAGCCGTCGCAGGTGAAGCTGCTGGGTATGCAATGGGTTTGATCATGCTTGGAACAGGATCTGAGCGTGCTGTTGAGGATATGCTAACGTACGCACATGAAACACAGCACGAGAAGATTATTCGTGGTTTAGCAATCGGGTTGGCACTTCTCTTCTACGGAAAGGAAGAACAGGCAGATGGCATGATCGATACTCTTATGGCTGAAAAGGATGCCATTCTACGATACGGTGGTATTCACACTATTGCATTGGCATATGCGGGAACGGGAAACAACAAGGCAATCCGCCGCTTGCTGCATGTTGCAGTCTCAGACGTCAATGATGACGTACGAAGAGCAGCTGTTACAAGTTTGGGATTCTTGTTATACCGTAACCCTACCCAAGTTCCACGCATTGTCGAACTTCTCAGTCAAAGTTACAATCCACACGTCCGATATGGGTCCACATTGGCCCTTGGTATCGCCTGTGCAAGCACTGGTCTAGATGACGCCGTTGATCTATTACAACCAATGTTGAAGGACCCTGTGGACTTTGTCCGTCAAGGAGCTTGCATTGCTTTGGCAATGATTATGATCCAACAAAATGAGACACTCAATCCTGGCGTTGTTTCTGTTCGTAATGCATTCGAGAAGATCTTGACCGACAAGCATGAAGATGCTTTGGCCAAATTCGGTGCCGCACTCGCACAAGGTATCCTGGACTCTGGAGGTCGCAATGTCACAATCAGTCTTGCAAACAAGGGCGGAAGCAACAATATGATCGCAATCGTTGGAATGATGATGTTCACCCAATTCTGGTATTGGTTCCCCTTGGGACATTTCATCAGTCTTGCCTTCACACCTACTTCGATTATTGGTCTAGACCGGGAATTGCGTATTCCCAAGTTTGACTTCCGTTCTAATGCAAGACCAAGCCTATTCAACTATCCTGTTACAGCAAAGAAGGAAAGTGAGAAAAAGGTTGAAAAAGTGGAAACGGCTGTGCTAAGTACGACGGCTAAATCGCAAGCACGTCAACGTAACAAAGAGCGTGAAAAGGCAAAGGAAGAAAGAGGAGATGGAATGGACGTAGACGATCAAGTACCTCAAAAGAAAGATGATTCGGCTGAAGATATTACCGCGACATCGACAAACAAGGACGATGATACAGCGACAGGAGCGCCAAAGAAGACAAAAAGAGAACGCAAGGCTGAACCCTCTTTCTCTTTGATTCCAAATTACTCGCGTATCACTCCATTCCAGCTCAACTATGTCAGCTTCCCGCCTGATTGTCGTTATACACCCATTCGACCTCTCCATGCAGGCACAAAGTTGCACGATGTATTCAACACCAGCACAGTAGCACCCAACAAGGGCAAGCTTTCCATCTTTGGTAGCGCATCTCCTGCTCCTGGAGCAAGCGGACGTGCAACACCTGTACATGGTACAAAGGGATCCAATCCACCATCAGCGCCTGCTGTCGCACCCCAAAGCAATGCAAATGCACAAGCCCAAGCTGCGGGACCCACTGCACAAGAAGCACGAAGTTTGTCGAACTCAAGCATTGGTGTTCACGGAGGTATTCTGCTTTTGATCGATCGACGTCATACAGAGCCGTTTGAGCCTATCAAGACTGAGACTGGTGATGCAGGTGATGCAAATCAACAACCACCGTCAACTAGTATCGTACCTGCTGCCGATCCACGTGCACCAAGTGGAAGTGATATCAGTCCTGAAGATCAAGCTGCCATTCAACGTGCTCTTGCAATGGATGATGATGATGAACCAGATAATAAACAAGATATTACCGGCATTCATGGAAATACAGACCGTAATAACGGATCTGGAGAAGGTGGAACGGGTGGTGGTCCACCTGCGCCTTCTGCTCGTTGAATTTGTCGAGACGAATAAAATAAAGAGGAAGTTATGCTGATGTAGAGAATCTTCAATCATATAAAATAATACAATTTTGACAACAGAACAGTGGTGTTCAGAATGTGCATGAGAAGAGAGAGGGAGAGATGAGAGAGATTGAACGAGACGAAAGGCCGGAACATCGATGGCACGGTCCGATAATGGAACGCTCTTTCCACCCTTATGGCTGAAACAAAATGTATGCATCCGCCAAGATTAGTGGCCTGGGAACCCCAAAAGTTTCATGAGGCTTCGGACGGCCGGATTAATTAGCCCTCTCTTCACCGGACAAAGGAGGATTGATTTAACCTCCGCTTCATCTGGAGTTTTCTCGCATTGAATCTGCTGAGTACGCCATTGGCGAAAGAATTAATTGCACTTCCTTTCATGCCTGAGAAAAATGCGCCCGCATTTCATCTTCTTCCCTCGAGCGGCCAACAAACCGTAATTCTTGCTCATCATTACCATCTTCACTTCGTCATTTACGATCTGCTCCTTACAAGCTCGTGATTGTCTTCACATTGCTCCCCATATGACGAGCAGTATGTTTGATGTTGTACCGAAGCTGCCCAATGAGCTATCAGCTCAAATCTTCTCTTTCTTCAACGTGTTCGAGTTGGCAAAGCTTGAACGAGTAAGCAAATCATGGAGAAACGTGATCCGGACCAATCCGATCCTGTGGAAAGATGATCAATTCGATGAAAAAGTTCTCGATCCTTGCGCTCTTCAACATGAAGGCAAGTATAATGCCATGCTCGAAAAGTGCGATGGCAAGATCGACAAAGTCTTTTTACCACTTTTCCTACCATTCAATACTCAAGGCAAACTAGAATCATTACTCGAGCCCTTGGCAAAATCAGAAGTGAAAGACCTCTGGATCGTGATTAGAAAAGACAAAACGTGCCCTGGTCGACATCAACACGGTGGGCCGAATGCGTCAAGTAAACAACTTCAAGATGCAGTGAAAGCCGTTTTGAAAGTAGTGGTGCAATGTGCTCATTTACAAAATTTGCGATTGGCTACGACTGAAAGTGTGATGGTGAATACAAAAACCTTTGGCGACCCAAAGAAGTGGCCTTTTGCTGCTAACCGATTCAAGAAGCTGAGCTATCTGCTCAAATCTTCTCTTTCCTCGACATATTTGAGTTGGCAAGAATGGAACGAGTGAGTAAATCGTGGCAAACTTTGATTCGAACAAACTCAACTTTATGGAAAGATGACCGATTTGATGCAAAGTTTCTTCATTTATGATGTCTCTACACTCGCATTCATCGGGCTCTTACAAGTAAATATTGGCAGACTTTAGAGAAGAAGAGGAACGGTGAATGGATCTAGGCTGAGAGCCTTGAGAAAGAGGAAGTGCAGAAAGAGGATGTGAAGGACTCAACATAAGTTGCTGCACAGAGTTCATCAATAGAATCAGCGGAGCAGTCCGCCTTGACCTTATTTCCTCTTCTTAATCGTTATTACAATTAGATAAATATAAAAAATAATAAATATTTTAATGAATAAGTTTTTATTTAAAATATTTAATAAAAGTTTATTTAAGATTTATTATAGAATAATAAATTAATATAAGAATCTATAATATAATTATAAAATACTAAATAAAACTTTTATAAAAAGATATAATATAAATAAAAAAATAAGTTTTTTTAATATAATTATTTAATTATTTATAAAAATATTTATTTAAACTTTTTATATTTTTTATAATTTTTAATTTTCTTTTTTTTCTATTATAATAATCTTATATATATATTAAAATTTATTAATATATTAATAAATAATATAAATATATAAAAAAATAAATAATATTATAAAAATTTTATTAAAAGTTTTATTTGATAATTTAAATATTAATAAATAAAATTTTTTAATTTAATTATATAATTATATATAATTAAAATCTATATAAATTTAATTAAAAAATATATTTTTATCTATTATATATCTAAAAAAAATCTAATAATTATTAATATTTTTAAATATAAATATTTAATTATAATAATTAATTATAATATCTTATAAATAAATATAATCTAATTTTTTCTAATAAGTTATTATAATTAATAAGAAATATTATAAATTATACTTTATAAAATTCTTATATTAAAAGAGTTTTATAATTTCTTAAATTTTAATATATAATAATATATAATTAATCAAGATATCCCGCTCTTTTAGCTTCCTAGTAATTGATGCTTAGCAGCCTTAATAAGTATAATATATAACTCTTACTAACTATTCGATGGATCTGAGATATCCCGCTTTTCTATCTTTTAAACGAATACTTTTTCGATAAGTCATCTGTAGCTGCTATTCATAAATTTACTAACCGTCTGATAGATCTGAGGTATTCCGCTTTTCTGGATCTCAAACAAAAACTTCTTAACCAACTATCTACAGCTGTAACTATAATTCTTACTAACCATCCGATAGGAATGAAAGATCCTGCCTTTCTGGTTTTGAAACAAACACCTTATTGACAAATCATCTGCAATTATAATCTATAATTCTTACTAACCATCCGATGGTTCTGAGATATCCCGCTTTTCTAGCGTTTCGGCAACTTCTGTCCTGATTTCTTCGATGTACTTACTGTACTCGGCTCTCTTATCTATTGAAAACTCTGCAGCAACGTCCCGCTTTACAGGTGGTGATAATGAGTTGTAGCTTTGTATAGTGAAACAGTTCCGCCGAGAACTGATTTGAGAGTCTGTATAGTTGTTGTGCCCGCAAGTATTGCCATTAGCATGCTCATGTCCATCACTTTTGCACTCCTGCGTGAGTCCAATGATGAAGGAAAGAGTCAAGCAGAACATTTAATCTTTTTAGTGACTTTCTTCTTGCATAAAGTCACGCTAATATGGAGTATACGTAGGCGTGCGTGCGTGCGTAGGGTAGCATACATCCATTGTCAGCCAACTTGATTACTTATCCTTTTGGATGACCATGATGAGAAAAGACTTGAATTTGAATAGCCCATTAAAAAAAAGCATGTCATATCATACCTGCTGCTCCCGTTGCACATGAATCGATGGGTCATTTGACTGGCCATGTCAATAACGATAGGTGCATACACAAAACTTTCACCATCCAAAGGTTTAACTCCTTCACTCATACCTGCAGAGCAGAATGGTGCAGCAGAGGTCTCAACGCACGGACAAGAGAGCAGGGTGCAGCAACCTTATCTAAGCTGCAACGAAAGAACTTACCGAGAAGCCGGAAAAGCGGGATATCTTAGATCCATCGGATGGTTAGTAAGACTCATGAATAGTAGCTGCAGATGATTGGTCAAAAAGTATTCGTTTGAAAGCCAGCAAAGCGGGATATCTCAAAACCATCGGATAGTCAGCAGAAAGAACTGAGGATTACGGCTGCAGATTGTGCAGATAAATCCAAGCTATCAAGCAAGCCATTGTGCAAACGTCAAAGAAGCGTGATATCTCATAAGGCTGCCAAGCATCAATTGCCGGGAAGCCGAAAGAAC